TTTCTTTTGTATCTTAAGACCATGAAAAGTGTATTCATGTTTTATTTTTTTTCACTTTTTTTCAAGTAAACAGTGCTGTGGCACTAGCCATGGTTTGTAACATAGAAAGATATTTCACATTTGATTTTATTTGTAGTTTTTTACTCAAATTATGGGTATATTCTGCCTAATGCAAAGTTTATATCATATAAGTGGGACCTTTTAGATTGTATAGCTCCAAATGATTTTATACATCTACATATACCCCAACGACACTTACCAAGGAGGAAATCCTAAATATTAAAAGGTCAGTTCTATGTTTTTTTTGAAATTCTACCAAAGAAGAAGAACTGGATCTTCCTTCACTGTATTGGATACCTAAATTACATAAGTGTCCTTACGAGCAACGTTATATTGCAGGGTCTTCTAAGTGCTCCACGAAACCTTTAAATTATTAACATCAATTTTATCAACAATCAAAGCCGGGCTTCAAAGTTATCGGGAATTACCTACTATGGTGGTTCCGTGAATCAAATGGGGATACTTAAAAATTCGAAAGATCTGTTCAAGTACATACAATCTAAGTCTCTTTCCTCTTATAATAGTATTAAAATATTTGAAGTTTCTACCCTTTACACAAGTATTCCCCATTCCAAACTAAAACAAAATTGAAAGAACTGGTCATGCTTTGTTTCAGAAAAGAGAATGGCAAACGCAGAAACAAGTACATGTATCTTGTCTTAAGGAGGGATAAATCGTACTTTGTAAAATTCGCTCTTATTCAAACCAAAAATTCTCTGAAACTGACATTATCAAGATGCTTGATTTCTTCATTGACATTGACAACATATTTTTTACGTTTGAAGGACGTGTTTTCAACAAATAATCGGTATGGGTATGGGAACCAGCTTGTTCCTTTATTCATATGAGGGTGTCTTCATACAGGAGCTTCTTAGAAAGAATGAAAAGAAGCTAGAGGTATTCTTTTAACTTCATGATATATAGATGATGTCCTCTCACTAAATAATTCAAAGTTTGGCGAGTATGTTAAACGCATCTTCCCCATCGAACTTGAGATAAAGGATACAACAGATATAGTTAAGTCTGCCTAATAATTTGACTTACATCTAGAAATTGACAATGAGGGTTGGTTGAGAACAAAACTTGCATATGGAGTGTATATCTCCCAGTTAATACGATATTCAAGAGCTTGTATTTCCTATCATGATTTCCTTATTAGAGGGTTGCTGCTTAGAAGGAAGCTATTGAACCAAGAGTTCCAAGTGTTGAGGTTGAAATCATACCTTTTTCCGTTCAATTTTATCTTAAATTAAGCTGCAAGTTATTACTGTTGAATAATCGCAATTTTTTTTTATCCAGGGCATTTTTATACTTACTATACGGTATGGTTTTGTCTTATTGTTGAAGTTAGAACAGTGACGTTTAGTTGTTTACATCCTTATCCTCTGGTATTTTGGTGGATATTTATCTCATTCAGAATCTTACCTCCATTTCATGTGAAACCAAATTAAAACAGTGGTAAAGGAGATAAACAGTCAGTATGTAGATGCGACTTTTTTATACAAACATTTGAAAATCCAACAATATTTTACAAAATTATCAAATGCATGAAACATTCTCCAGAGTTCACAAAATATTTAATCTGCTTCCAAATAGGAATAAACTGTGACGTTATGTGATTAATATAGATTTTCCAAACATTATATGTTAGAAAGAAAAATTTTGTCTTGTATTCATTCCGAATAGAACTGGGGCATATATCAAAATAACTCAGTAATGTACACAAAAGTATTTTCACGTGCTGAAATCTTTTAATAACTCATCTTATTTATGAATAACAGCTATAATCGTACGTAAATACAACTTGACTACAGAAAAAAATATATGCAAATTATACACACACAAATTGTCTACAAAAATATAAATAACAAAAAACTAAATAAATGTAAAACAAAAAAACCCTAAAAATACATAATCTGAAATCAGTCAAACTAATCACGTTCCTCACAAAAAATATATCTGAATACTGGATTTTTCTGATAACTTGCACCTAATGATGGACAATGATCAGCAACATACTATCCAACAGTTATCAGCAGTAATTATCGTAAAAACAAGAGTCAGGAGATACAAAGGGGACATTCAAAACTCTCAAGTCGAAGAAAAACTGACAATATAAATAAGAAGATGGGTTATGAGTGCCAATGAGACAAGTTAGTCAAGTATGATTAAAAAAAAATAATTTGGAAAGAAAGTTTGTACTTGAAAATCTTTTATACGCGCCTTTTGTAGTAAACAAACCATTATGAACTGTTTAGGAATACCAACTTCTTCATATTAAAAAAAAATGATGTGATATGATTGTTAGTGAGACAGCTATCCATCTAACACGAAATAAATGGGAAGTGCGTACGGCTTTGTGTGGTAATATGTAAGAATTCAACATAGGTTTACATCGACAATATTTTGTAATTTTGTATTTTACATGACCGATGGTTTACGAATTTGGTGCTGTCTTAGGTTTAGATTTAAGTCAATTACCTTTACGTTATTACGTGATGCCCGATCACTTGAAATTACTTATTAAAGTATTTTATAGGATAACACGGCGGATGTCCCAAGTGGAGCAGGAACTGATAACCCTTCCGGCGAACTTAGGACCACCCGGTTTCCGTTGGGGTTCGTCTTGATCAGTGTTTAGTTTTTATATGTTGTGGTTAATAGACTGTTGTTTGTCTTTCGTCGTTTTTCGTTTTTTGCCTTGGCGTTGTCAATTTGTCTTCGACTTATGAGTTTGAATATCCCTTTGGTATATACCGCCTCTCTTGTAAAATAAGCTAAATATGCCCCTTCCCCGTATCATGACGTGGTTTAAAAAACACTAACTTGAGTTGAGACGATTGCGCAATAGCAAGTCAATGCATCATAGTAAAAAAGTTAAAATGGACTAAACACATCGAATCAACATTATTGACTACGATTTCTCAAGATAAAACATGCTAAAGAAGAAATATAAAAAAAAATGTATAAAAAAATAATTTGCATGTAGCTATTTCAAATTCGAAATTAAAAAGTTGACGATTTCTCAGATAAGGATAAAAGTTTGCTCACCTTCATAGATGTATGTAAATAATCTTGCTTTTTTCACTTGGTACACTTTCTTAGATATTAAAATAAGTGTTTCCATCTTCACATGCAATAAATGATTTCCATTTTAATGAAACAAATAAACGCTTCTGTTTTTTTGTGTGTAAAAATATTGAATCTAAATTTGTTCATTTTTAACATCTATAGTTACACATGTGTTTAATGTAATGTTTGTAGTAAAAATAATATCGTTCATAAAAGTCAGATTTTTCTCTGATATATTATAACTAATCTATAAAATTAAACAAGACGATGATTGTGCACTCTCTGTAGTTTTGGTTTCTGTTGTTTTTGGGTTCGTTTCAGCAACTATGTTGTCTTTTATATTCTTTTCAGTGTTTTCTGATTCAATGGCTACCTGATTTTCCGTATGATTGATATTTGTAGGTTTGGATTTTCTTACTGGAGAAGGCATTGTCTCTAAAGAATGGGGACTCCCTACTCCTCTGGTATTTTTCTGATTCATAGTTGTCTGTTCAGGTTTTTGATTACCGGTTCTTTGGCTGGGTTTTCGGCACTGAGCAGACTTTACACTTGGTCTTTGATTAACGATTTTAGTACTTGGTTCGTTACTAACAGTACCCTTGTTATTGCTGTGTTTGCTTCCACTTTGTGCCATGGGACGTTGGCCTGATTTCACACTTATTGGTCTCTCATAGACGGGATTTTCCTCTTTTTTCTTGTTGGGAATTGCTCGGTGGTTTCCATTTTCAGTTTTTTGCCCTTTATGTATCACTTTTGGCTTGCTTTCTTCTCCCATTGTCACCATTGGACAGTATTCTCCGATTTTGTCCATTAACTCATCAAATTTTGGCCCGGTCCATCTCATTTGTACCTCCTCGTCTCGATAAAAGTTGATAAACAGTAACTGTGTAAAAACCATACTCATTGGTCCAGAAGGTGGCCAATCCATTTTCTCTAAAAGCAATGGTATAATTGGTTTCTTCAAAGCATCAGCCAAACTCACTTCCCTACGACAGTTAGCTGAGAGTGAATACTTTTGGGTAATGATTGTAAGTACTACTTTACATCCTCGTACACCAGAATCTATTTTCTCATATAATGAGTCTCCTCCGCCCATTTGATGGATGTCCATCCAACAATGCAGACCTAAGCTCGTCAACCGTTGATACATGGCCATAATCTCTTTCTGTTTACCCCACTGATAGGATATAAATACTTCCGGTGACTTCTTTTCCTAAACAAAAAAAATCATTGATGAAATTGTATGCATAAACATGTTAAAACAATTCACAACTCCGCTACAGTACAGATCTAACTAATTTCTCGGATTTGAACAAAGATAATGCGACAGGCTTCACTCATGGAGTAGAAAAAACTGTGACCATCCCTTAACACCAGGTATGCTTCATGTTGTACAATCCTAGATTTTTAATGCTTGTAATTTGCTGTTAGCCTTTTCGTATTTTCCTTAAGTCAATTGGGTTTTATTTCTCCTGTCTGTCTGATTGATGGTTTTTGTACATTTTGCAATGTACAAATTATGACCTCTAAATTTAAAAATATGAACTAGATTTAGAAACAAAGTGAATTTTCAAAAAAAGGAATCAGAACTAGCGTCTTTTCTTTATGCTTTATAAGTAACTGATCTAGGGAAAAACGTTAACAACTTAATAAGAAGATTTGTAAATCAGCTTGCTGAGCAAAAGCAATGCCCAAATGTGATAATATGAAAATGCTTTCTTAAATATGTTTTTATAAATTGAAGTATTATTTTCATTTATATTACCAAAAGAATGCAATAATGATATATGTGGGGTTTATTTCTTATCCTTCGCCTTTTTATGCTCTATGAACATATAAAACCTTTTTTTAGTTTTTCTTTTAAAATTTTAATCTTCAAAAGTATTTCTTTTTAACCAGACCTCATTCTTTGATTCCTTCTGTTTTGCCTCAGATTGCGTCCGTTTCTTTTTTGTTTTATCTATAACTATCACTTCTTGTACAGGAATCCACCAGTTCTTGTACACTATAACACATATGTATAATTTGAATAAAGCGACCTTTTATTTTATTTCATTAATTCATTTTCACTAAATTCTTTCTTCCAGTAACCCTTTATATACTTAGCCTTATCAAATCTGAAGCACAACATAAGTAAAATTAACTTTGGCCCACATGAAACACACAAAATTTCAAAAGATAACAGAAATATTCTGCGTATGAATCTAAACATTAATATTAAGAAATGCATTGCTCGGAATGTTACAGTAAAACAAATAAACATTTAAACTGTATATTTGAGTGTTTTGAATAATGTTATTTTTAACTAGTCTAATTAAAATTAAATCCTTTAATTGCTCCAGTTCTGATATGTCGGTTAATTCCCGATTGTCCCACGTTTTAAAATTTTAGAGTTCTGATTGTCCCACATGAAAAGTTCTGATTGTCCCACATTATTTTATGTAGTAAAATGTTCTGAAATAAACAAGGTATCTATTGTTTGTTTTGCTAAATAAACAAGAATCAATTATTGCATGTTCAAACTATTATTTAATATAAATTTTATAAAAGTATTTTTTTTGTATATCATCAGATAAATGCACTTTTGAGTAAATAATATAACATTTATTAATTATATCTATAATGTTACGTTTATTTATATAAAACAAATATCAATACTGTAAATTATATAAAAAACAATTATATTTTTTTAAAAATATTTTAAGAAATAATGCATGCAATTTAAAGAAAAAGGGTAAACTTATTTACGCTGTACACTATACACGCACTTGTTGATGGAGATATATTTCCACTAGTCTTTGCACTTTTACCAGTTGAGTCAGATGCCATTTACACAAGATTCTTTATCATACAGAATACAATCTGATGGTGGTGACGGCAACACCGTAAACTATTTGTAAAGCTTTACGTTTCAGGGGGTAAAGGAATTGGATGATTCATATTTTGTATATAGATCCCTTGTGTTACGAAGTTCCCTTCTGTCATTTAATCATTGTCCTTGACTTCATTTTCATTGTTTAGTGACTGCTAAAAGCTGTATAGCTTGTTTTCGTCATGTGAATGTCTCATTTATCATAAGTTCTAGGATAACTATAGTTGGTTACTAATATATGGTATCCTTGCAATGTCTACATGTCTGTCAGATATCATAGTTCACATGACCACGACCTCATTTTATGGACCAATGACAAAGGTTAAGTTTCAGTGGTCAAGTCTGTATCTCAGATACTATAAGTAGTGTGTGAAATATTTTTGATGTTTGGAATGGTAGCAGGGTGTACATGTCTTTGTGGCAGAGTTAATCTGACCTTACCTCGTTGACATGGAACATTGATAATGTTAATTTTATGTAATACCAGTTGTATAATATAAAAATAAGGAGATGTGGAAGTAAGCATTCATAGGCAACCGTACGTTCAACAATGAGAAAGCCCATACCGTATGGTCGGCTATAAAAAGCCCCGATTTGGAATATTTTAAATAATTCATTTGAGAAAACTAATAGCCAAATTTATAACAAAACAATTTACCAAAATAATTATGACAAACATGAACAAACGACAATCACTCAAATACCGGCTCGATACTGACTTGGGACAGGCATATACAGAATGTATAATCCTTTTCTCTAAGACTTTCGACAAAATACAGTAAGTTAGTAAAACATGCTGTACCCAGTAGAATGCTAGTTTTAACGGTAATGATGCTTATAATCACACTTTTCTCAGATCTTTTCGTTAGCTTTCAGTAAGGGGACGACCATTTGATTTCGAAAGGTGAGGGGAGGAGGATTTTGAAAATGAATAACTTGGCCTGGTATGAACTGAAAATAAATGACTTTGCACAAGACAGGATGAAAAATTGAGTAGTGCTTGATATGTGATATTTTTTTACTTAATTTATATTCTATGTTTGATTATACTTCAATTGTACCTTTTCTGATTATTTGTTCAACTTTATTTCATATTTCATAATTTACACTGATTGTTAACGTATAACTTTTCCTTCTGCACACTATACAAACAAATTAATCACTATCAAAACAATTCCCGATTGTCCCACATTTAAGCTTCCCAATTGTCCCACAAACATATTCCCGATTGTCCCACAAAATTTCATCACTTTTTAACCTGTAATTTTAAAAAGTTGGACAATCGGGAAGACACCGATATGTCGAGCATCACCTTGATGCGCGACATATCAGAACAGGAGTAATTAAAGGATTCAATTTTAATGAGATTGATTTTTAACGTACTGGTATCAATCAATGATTCTTCTGGTAAAATGCCGTAGCAATTTAACTGCATCAACATTTCCTTGAACTTTGCAACAGGCCAAATCCTTTGATCATCTGTTTCTTCTCCGACTCGCTGAAAAAATCTGACAAAAAGATACTCGCTGAAGATAGGTCCCATAGATCCTTTTGGTGGCCAACCCATTTTCTCCATTAGCAGTGGTATCATTGGTTTACCTAAGCTAACAGATAAATTTACCTGCCAACAACAAATTACAAGATATATTCATGTTTGTCATCAATCAAGATACAAAGAACAGAAGATTTTCTTTCGTGTTATAATACAAAATATGATAATGATACTTTTATTTTTATCAATGTACAAAATGTTCGAAATGTAATTATGAAACAGTCTCTTTAAAATGTTTTTTTTCATTTCTTTACCTCAGTCCTGTCAAAAAACTTAAAGTAAAACATAAACGAATACAAAAAGATACGAGCGTCAGCAATAGCGTACACAATTTGAAAGAATCTGAACATATATTTGTGTCTGCTAACTTGTGTTTTCCATTCGTTTGATGTGTTTGAGCTTTTGATTTTTCCATTTGATAAAGGTCTTTCCGTTTTGAATTTTCCTTTGAGTTCGTTATTTTTACTTTTTTATTTTTTGTATGAAATGGTTGAAAGTTTATTGGTTTACCTCTCTATTACAATTTGGAGACTGTGCATATTTTTCTGACACACAACAAATGATGACTTTTGCTCCTCTGATGCCACTGTCAATTTTCTCAAATAGTTTATCTCCTCCTCCCATCTGACCAATGTCCATCCAACATTCGTATCCTGCCATTTGTAGGTGGTTACGGATAAGTTTGACCTCATCCTGATGACCCCACTGGTAACTAAGGAAAACAGGAGGTGGAGATGAGTAATCTACTTCTTCCTCTTCTACCACATCAACTATAGATAATAATGAAGCAAATTTTTTAATTGATTGACCTTTTAGATACCATTTCTTTGATCACAGTACTTGTAGTTACATCTTTAAATCAAGTGCAGGGATATTTTAAGTTTAGGGGTATGCAGGACAATTTAATTCAGACAAATATCTTCATAAACTTAGTTTTTCATTTTCCAACGGATGTAAAATATTCCTCAACTATTCTCCCTTTCCATCCACATTTAGGACCTACCTGATATATTGAGCAATTGCCTTTTGTCTTGAACATCCAAGGAACATTCGTCACTGCTTGTATGTTATTTTTTAAACCAGTAAGTAAAACTTTATATTACTAGAAATGTATTCTTTTAACTTACCTACAGCTTTCATAGCATTTTCCACAATAGCAGCACCATCCATTCTGCTAATTTCCTGTAAGGCTGTTAATACAGCATAGTTTGCCTCCCTTGTCTTGTGTGTAGCATACCATTCACTGAGAACAGCCATACAAGGATCATGTTGTGATGCCCACGCTCTGATGTCATCATTACTATAACCAAGACGTTGGGCCAGTAATCTCCAATCATGTTCTGTTTGTGGATTCATTATCTTTGTTAAATCTCTTGACCATCGGGGTGCATTGGTCATTGTCTTTTTGTGAAAAAATAAAAGTCAATCCTTATCTTAAATTTTTTATTATTTCGAGGATGTGAATTTAAAAACTAGGTTCCTAATTCTAAATGCAAAGTTCATTTTAATTTTCTTATTATTCTACTTGCAAAATTGACTTAACGACAATATTAAACTTTTTCTTGCGTCATAATTATAAAAATAAGAAGATGGGGTGTGTTTGCTTTACTTGTAAAATTTACGTACAATTACTGTTTTATGCTTTTTGTTGGTGTTCAAATGCATTGTACGTAAGGCATGGTATTTGTGTTACCTTCATATCTATTTCTTGCACTTTAATTTTTGTCTCCTCAATATCTTTTTCAGCAAAGTCCACCCTCTGTGTGACAGTATCAAGCCCCTCTCCTAATTCCTGAATGTTTTCGTCATGCTCATCTACTCGAGTGGTCAGATCACCTACAACCTTTTCAGTACCAGTCACTCTTTGATCAAGCTTGTCTACACCCTCCTGCGTTTCTTTGATGTTTTGGTCCACTTTTTCAAGACTTCAAATTAAAAAGAAAAAATAATGGCATACATCCCAAAAGACCGAAGTTAACAATCTAAGTGAAGTGTGTACTTATAAATAGTAAGCATAACTGAGAAGGAACAAGGATTTAGTCCGTATCTAACTTATTGTCAGGATTTAATCCAAAACAATATAAAGTACACGATGCTTCAGTATTGTAACTTGTTGAGCAGGAACTGCTAACATTTCGGGAGCAAAGCTCTATGATTATCACCGGTACTCTTTGGGAGCGGATCTCTATGTTCTGGTTACGTACGATGACCTATAGTTGCTTACATCCATTTCATTTGGACTCTTGTGAATAGCGGTCTCATTTGCAATCATAATACTTCTCCTTATTGTTTTATACATGTACAGTGGTGAATATCCTGTCAACTCTATTTGGAGTTCGAACGTGATGAGGTGCGTTTAACTCTGATCTTAACCGACAAGGGTTTCCTGCCGCGGGTTGGTGGTTCTCGTCGGGTCCTCCGACTTCCTCCATTAATAAAAACAATTGTCGACATGATATAGCAAATAACATACATCTAAAACAAAAAACAGGTTCATAAACAATGTACACAAGAATAGCACAAGAAGCTTTAAATCTTCCTCTACCGTTGTACAGTGGTGTAATAACAAGACAATAGAACAAACTATAAAAATCAGTGCCAATGAAACTCAAAGGATGTACAGGGTATTGATTGGAATAAAAAGACAAAATGCTTTGTCGGGCTAATTTGGGTCAGAGTGAACACTATAACTTAAGAAATATTCAAGTAAATACAGCAATTACATATATAATTGCTTTCATACCTTCTTCCCTCAATTTGGTCAATAATAACAGTAAAGCCGCCTTTTACGTCAACATCTTTTTCTTTTTCTCTCCTTTTTCTAAAGTATTCTTTTTGCGAACGTAGCAAATCAAGACCATGCACTCCAGCAAATTGTCTGAGCGAGTTCAGATTCACGTGTATGGCAGTTATGTCGTTCGTCTCTTTAAGTGACTTCATTAAGTACTTAAAAACTGGCTCTTTAAATTTCTGTAACAAGAAAATCATGATGAAATCAAACGAAAAAAGAGACAGAAAAAAAACTGACCAAGGCTACGAAAAAGGTTATAATTATAATAATATTATCAAACCCGTGACAAACAAAACAAACGCACATACAGTTGATTGTTTACAACCACTGGCTATCACCAGCCCATTAGTTAACAGTATTGAGTTAACATGAAATATCATTCATATGTTCATTGTCTGTAAATTCAATGTTTATAAAATTTTGAGTTATTCAAAACACTAAGGTTTTCTACCAGCAGGCGTAGATTGCTATAGTCGTGTTTTGCACAAGTTTTACTGACGCACAAAATTTGTATTATATGTTAATTTTATTTTGAAATTTTATGTTTTAAAGCTCAACTTTGAATTTGATTTTGCCGTTCAACTGTTTAGCGCTTCTGATGAGATTTATGTAGACGAAACGCACGTTTGGCGTTCGAATTTATGAGCCAGGTATCTTTGGTGAGTTTTTATGTATACATTTTGGTCATATAGCTCCTAACGATTCCATTTATTTATGCACCACTGTTTTTCAAATGTTCAGGTTTAAGCATTCCTGATAAAGGTAAATCTATATAAGCGCTTTTGGCGCACGTTATTTTCATTTTCTTTATGGGAAACAACATTGTGACAGCAAACATAACGTTTCAGAAGGAATGGTTTCAGCTCAGTAGTCAGTGCCTCTGTACTGACATGATTTATAACACATTTTTCAAAACTTTTTCGTTGACAAGTTAAAAATTTATCAATAACTAAAGTTTCAACTCTTTTTTCAAGAAAAGTTGACCTCAGATAAATTTGACTACTCGTTTTTGTCCCTTTTGTTCATAAAGCTCCTAACGTTGCTACGTTTTCATATACCCACGGCTTTCAAATGTTAAGGTTTGAGCGTTCGTCATTCTGAAGATAAAATCAGAAAAGTGATTCGGACGCACGAAATCTATAAAGAGTAATTTTCATCATCAATCTTTTATAAAAATAAGGAGATTTACCCTATTTTAACGTTATTTCTTTCGTCTTTGTCCAATAGCATCCCTCTATCGTTGACCATACGAAAGAAAGCATATGCTCTTGGTTTTTTTTAATGTATCAACTTATTTGTTTTAATAGTTGCATTCACTTCCTAGTCAAGACACACATGGTTTGATAGTTCAATGATACGTACTGTCTATGCTGTATTTGTGACATTCTTGACTTAACTAGTTCGTTGTTACTATTTTTCTCACCAAATATGTTCCGTAGTCTTTTGTCATATATGAATATTTTCAAAATGTGCCAGTCGACAATGGGTTTAACTTGTTTGCATATCATTAACGTTTTACTATTAACCTTTTCTGTTTGTCTTGGTTTGATCATTCTTGATGAATGTATACGTAGATCCAGAAAAGCGTTTCTAGTTTATAGTGTCATTTTCATTTCATGTTTCTGGACAAAAATCGGTTAAGTATTTACATATTGTAGAACAATATGTGTTTTGTAGTTAGTTGTTTCATTATTCAACTGAAAAATAAATGAATGAATAGAAAAAAATCTACCTGAATGGATTTAGTAACATTAAGAAGGACTGTGTTAATGTAATTTTGTTCCATGACTGGTATAGATTTGTCTGCCATTAAAGTATTCATATGGTGGGCAAATACTTGCGGGTTCTTCTTTGTTATGTTGTCCATGATCCCATATAAAACCTGGGTCTTGAGTGCTTTGTCTTTGTAGTGATATTTCATTATAATATCTACAGCTTTCATTGTAAACATCTAATTTAAACAAAACAGAATGACTTTAGCATCTCGTAAAGGTTTGACCCATGCATATGTTTTTTGTCATAAATGAGTATAATCTTTGTCTTTACTTTGTAAATCTATTTTATTTGTTTATACTACTGAAGCTTTTATGTATTTTTCTTATTTTTATTGATCACTTTATTTTACATCTTAACATAAAAATAGATTCATAACAAAATCGTTCAGATTTTTTTAAATTAACTTCAAATAACCATGATATATCCCCAAAACCATTTCATAGATTTTTCGTAAAATCTAATACTATTTTGCTAGATGATTTTTGTTCGATTAATATTAATAAATCATATAGGGTCGTTTGAACGAAACATATTTTATGTCTGTGTTGAAACTTTTTTTTAACTTGTTTAAAGCTTAACAGCGGTATAACGTTACCGATATTTCGACATTTTACACGACTTTAAAGAGCTTAAAACGATAACCTCATTTCGAAATTTACCCGGGATATTTTATTTTTCCATCAGAAACTCCGATTTTGGATGACTTGTACTTCAAAAGTGATATTGGTGGCAACATCATTAAAACGGGAACTTTATATACGTTTTCCGTCAATTTTATGTGCATATATACAAAAGTGTACTTATTTTTGAATTTTTTATTCAAACATATTTAAGAAAATAAAATATTTGAAGAAATACATTTTCGCATGTGTTTAGTTATTTGTAGTTCCTGAAAAATAGCGACGAAACGTTGATACGTAAGAAAATGCAACACACAGTATACTTTGCTAATGTAAAGCTTGATCTCAAATTCCAATAAGCTCTGGTTTAAAGTATCTGGGTAAATGCGACAAAATATATATGAGACGGTGGACGGACAGGAACACGGACGGACGGAAGGACGGGCAGACGTAAACCAGTATACCATTCCTCTTGAACGGGGTATAATGAAGCTTGCTAGTTAAAACGTCTGTAATTTCACAAATTAATTAGGCATTCATTATTGTGAGTATTCAACAGCTGACGACAATGCAAATTCAATAAATGTTGTACTGTACAATAATTATACAAAAATAAAAAAGGTGAATTTCAGGGGTTGCATAATTTTTCTATGTAGTGTTTGTGGACTTCTTTGTCGATTTTTCGTGTTTTGTTATATCGGTGACATTTCATCTTCAAGTTATGAGTTTTGAATGTCCCCTTTGTACCTTCCGCCTCTTTTTTTGCATATTCATGCTGTCAAATTTTTATACTTTAGTTTAAAAAAAATTGCCGAGCCTAAAAATGACAACCGGGAACATTTGTACTTGCATTTGGTTTTTCAGCTGCAATTTTGGCGAACATGACCAACTGTCTGTAGTAGGTATCAGACTGGTCTTTACATGCATCCATAAATTTGTCCATCACGTTACTAAAACGATCATGGCTACCTGGGTCTTCAACTATATTGGCAAATACGCCTAAAAAGAAATATGTCGTGTAAAAGTACTAGCTCACGATTAACGACACTCTTGTTTCCATTCAAATCGAATAACAAAATAATCAATCCAACTGTTTAACTACGCGTCACAATGATTGTGATAAACCATTTTCATTGTAAAAGTTCTCAAACCTGAACGGCGACTGAGTTAGGGGACCGCCCATTTTATTTCCTGGGATGGCTAATAATAGTGTGTATGTGCGGAATATAAATTTAAAACGGTTACTAGGTAAGCTGTCTTGTTTACGATTTTGTAAACCATTCTATCGTAACTATTTGAAAAAGGGGGGGGGGGCAGAATATTAATTTCGATCCTGTCTCGGACACGATTATTTATTTTCAGTTCTTCCCAGGCTAGCATATTCATTTACGAAATCATCCTTACCATCAACCCACCAAAAATTCAATTGGTCACCCATTAATATTTGTAAATGTACTTCACTTTTCATTTCATTCATATGACTTTGAAATCGATGAACGGTGATGCTGGCGATGCCCCTTACCTCCTGACCTATGGGTCACGTGATTCCGACTGTGCAAACTCATGTTTTTTTCTGTTTACCCCTTTACCAAGAATTTATATAGTAAATCCTTGCCTTTACTAATGATATCATTTTCAAACTGAATCCTTGATATTTAACAGTATTGAATGACTTTAAAAAAGATGATTTTTAGTTAGATTTATATGTTTTCCTAATATTTTATCTTTATTCAACATGAGAAAAATATTTTTTAGCTTATGTAACAAATAAAGTAGCATACCCACAAGACTTCCTAAATGTTCTTCTATGTACCAATCTAAAAGAGGCTGTAAGAATTTTGAACAAATATTTGGACAGTACTGTGATGCACTCTCAAAGGCTGCAATTGTCATTTCCTTTAGCTTGTCTTCCTCCTTGTGTCTATATTTTAGACACACTTTAAGGAGAGGTGAACACTCGTCGCCTAAACCAGCCGAGCAATGCTTCAATAAAAATGCAAATTATAATTTATGGTTGGCGTAGATAAAAGCCAAAATTTCTGAAAAAAAACATTGTGTTTTATATTACTTCATTTGAACGGTCATTAGATGTTTAAGGCGCATATTCTATACAGCAATAAAAAGAATTGTGCAAAGTTTACCTTACAGTGGATTGACGATCACCTTCATAATAGTGAGTGGTGATAATCATAGCGTTTCATTGTAAGTTTACTGTTTTTTAATACCATATGTTAGCTACATTTAACATCTTCAGGGGAATGGAAGAGATTCTGGATACTATATCTCATGAATTTAAAGATTTTTTTCGTTTGTTTCTTGTATGTTTACCAGTTTATTTGTAGTCTCATGTAAACAAAGTTAAATCAAATGACAAACTTTTTATTTACAAACATGTAGTACACAGAATGCAATGAAAAACGATCCGTTCAAACTATCATATACAATGTACAATTTTTCGACAAATAATGACAATGGATGATTGAATTTCATTTAGCAAATAGGATATAAATTGAAATAATCCAGATTTTTTTTTTATTTTCATATCATAAAGATAAAACTGAAATCAGTCGGGTTTTTTTACAAGGACTTGAATAACATTTAATACAAGATATAAAAGTAGGCAATCGATTTATGTCACACGATATTTTAAAAACGAAAAGTATGCTATACGGTAAATAAACATAGACGTTACCGACCCAATCTTGTTTAAAACGACAATAAAAAAAATGCATCAATTGGGTGCGTTCGAGGCACTTTTTTGTTTGGAATTACCTTCATCAGCACTGCTCAAACCAAAACATTTGATCCCAAGGATGCATATCCAGAAGATGTTTAAGGAAATAAAGACGCGATGAGGTATATATCCCAATGGGTCATAAAAAGAATAGCCAAATTCATCTACGGTCAACTTTGCCTCAGTAAGTTGGATCCTTAGTTTCTTAATAGTTTCTAAATTAACAGAGATTTTAAGACTGTTGTTTTATAATTCATGTCAGTATTGAAGCACTGACTACTGATCTGATAAAACTCTCGGGGACTAGCAGCCTACCAGCAGCGGTAGCTACTGTTATTAAATTTAGAATAAAATATTTACATCCCAAAAAGACAACACAAACGATGTGTATATTTAAGACAATTGTCTGCAGAATTTAATAAAAATAAAACAGGATGAAAACGCAAGAAAAATACCATTTGGGTGACAACCATAAACCCCCGCCTCCGCCTGACAAATTGAATATGTATTTATTTATCTCCCCTAATCATACCGGATAATATAATAATCGACGATGTTGAAAATTTTCTTTAACAAATATAGTGAAGTTCTCGGTTTTGATTTTGGTCTGCATTACCAATGTTTTGAAATGTACGGTAGAACGACTTTGCGTCATTACATATGCCAGTTTGAATATTCAACGTTCACAAAGTGCTGCTTTGTTCTTCAAACAAGCAAACTTCAATACAGTATTACAAAGTATCATTGTTTGCCACTATTTTAAACAGAAAAGACACTCTCAAATTATATCATTTTAAACAATCAAACTTGAATTTTCGAAATACTAAGGATTTTCTACCTTAGGAATAGATTACCTTAGCTGTATTTGGCAAAACTTTTAGGAATTTTGGGTCATCAATGCTCTTCAACGTCGTACTTTATTTGGTCCTTTTAATTTTTGAGTCGAGCGTCACTGATGAGTCTTTTGTAGAGGAACTGAGCGTCTGGCTGACAAAATTTTAATCTTGGGATTTATGATGAGTTTATATACCCTACCCCCTTGAAAAAAAACAACAAACTAACAAAGATTTACCAACAAACTTTTCCTAGTAGATCCAAAGATTGTTTTATTGATTAACATTATGATTTGCACAAAAATAAAATTAAAGTAGTAACCTCTTTATAAAAACAAACCAATAATTTTATTTTCTCCTAGTATAGATGAAAGCTAATGTGGCAGTTAGGATTATTATGTCATTGTTATTTCCCTTGATTAAAACCATAAATTTCATATTTCTTTATTTAATAATTTACATGAAGCTTATTCAGTACATATTTGTTAAATTGAATAGATATTGATATTTTGAAATCATTGGTTAAAGATATTTATTTATATTCTAAAGTTTAGTATTTGCATCTGCCACTGTGAGATCAACAGTGGTGGAGAATACCTGGTACAACTTAAATTACAAGTCTAGGTCTGCTTTGCAGATCAAAAACAGTATATTTTGTTCAGCTGAATGGTGCTTTCAATCGGTGGCACAACGTCTGTGTTACCGTTATCAACAACGTTGGATTGTAGTAATAGAACCCTGAATTTGGTCAGCGTTTTAAGATACTAGCTCATAAGGCTTATCCTGATAATTTTTCAGATTTAGATGTGTATTATTTACATCATGTTTGGATATTGAGATGGCTAAATTTGTCACTTTTAAGCATCCTCATAGTTTAGATGAGGCTTTATCACTAGCTATTGAATATGAAGCTGTTCATTTTACTGGTGATCCAGAGACTATTGATGAGACAGAAAGTTCAGTTTGTTGTGATACTGTTCATAAGAATTTTGAAATTTTAATGAATATATTGAGGAAGCGACTGAGATCACATAGGAAACGTAAACATAAGAAATGTTTTAAATGTCATCAGTTTGGTCATGTCAGGTCTAAGTGTCCAAATATGTCTTTTAGAGTTCATGCTAGAGATGAAAAGTCTGCAGATAGTCAAGAAAAGTTCTCAGATATAGACGGGATGTTGAAGAACGATTATTGTAGTTCAGATTGTGTTACATTTGTTTAATGTTTGTTTTCATATTGTGTTGTATATATACAGTTTTAAATTAGGTTTATTTCAATATACTCAGAGATGTTACACTTCTCAGTTTTGGCTGTTTGATTTTCTTTTTCCAAGGGAGGGATGCCGTGCATCTCATCTTGTTATATTTTTCATTTTTATTACTAATTTAATGACTGTTCTTCTGTGAAGTTTGAAGTGTAGACTGTTAGCTAGTTTAAGTAGGAATTGGTTTGTTTTATGAGTTGTTGCTCGTTTGTCTGGATAGTAATCTCTAGCTAAATATTTAGTATTTAGAGAGTTTAAAGATGTCTGACTTCTTGACTTTTATTAGTTATGGCAGAAACCAATAGAGTGAAAGTTAAGCTTCAAGTTAGGAACACTTTTAGCTCATACAGATGGACCCGATCCATTATTTAGTAACTTTTATGCAAATTTGGGTATCGTCCATTTTATTTTGAGAACCTTGCTATAACAGTTGGGCATCATCCAACTTTATTTTGAGAACCTTGCATATATATACAATTTGGGCATCGTCCAACTTTATTTTGAGAACCTTGCATATAAATGGACCCGATCCATCTCCGGTGGTACACCATTTGTGCTACCGTTATCAATAACGCTTGAATGCAGTAATAGGACCCGGTGGTACACGTCAAATGTGCCACTGTGAGATCAACAGTGGTGGAGATTACCTGGTACAACTTAAATTACAAGTCTAGGTCTGCTGTGCAGATCAAAAACAGTATATTTTGTTCAGCTGAATGGTGCTTTCAATTGGTGGCACAACGTCTGTGTTACCGTTATCAACAACGTTGGAGTGCAGTGATAGAACCCGGTGGTACACGTCAGATGTGCCACTGTGAGATCAACATTGGTGGACATTGCCTGGTATAACTTGTCATGGTTTCAACATTAGATGTGCTGTTACAATATACGCCGTTCCACTGAATCTGAAGAACACTTACCAAGAAGACTTAAAGTCGCGTCCGTTTACAGATGAAATCTGATTCTGATGTGTGTTTGTGTATACATGTGTTATTCAGTGACATTTATTTAAAAGTGATATTTTACATGTGTCAGAAAGACATTTAATCTGATGAACATTGATGGACTTTTGTTAAATTTTATTGTCAAATGTTATTTCATATACATTTGTTTTCGTAAAGGAGTAGGAGGGTAGCAGATTGATGCTGTGGTCTCCCTTGAACAGTCTTGTTATATAACTTTAACTGATATATATTTCATTTAATATCTTCTTCATATGACATTTGCATTCAGCATGTTTATTGTTGCAGACACATCAATTTGATAGACATTTCAGTTTGCAGACTTTATTTATGAAATTTATCGTTTGTCTTAGGGGGAGGAATGTGGCAGTTAGGATTATTATGTCATTGTTATTTCCCTTGTTTAAAACTATAAATTTCATATTTCTTTATTTAATAATTTACATGAAGCTTATTCAGTACATATTTGTTAAATTGAATAGATATTGATATTTTGAAATCATTGGTTAAAGATATTTATTTATATTCTAAAGTTTAGTATTTGCATCGTCGCAAATCATTAATAACCTTCCTTGAAAAACTTATATATTTTATATAACTGGTTTGATATTGTAATGTTGAATGGTCTGAGGACTGACGTTCAGTCCAACCTAGGAAAGCCGTGCTTTCCAACCACCGTTTAAGGTTAGTGTATCTGCCATATGCCTTCTTAATACGGGTAAATATTGAAGTCATTAAATGCTCCATTTCTACTTTTGGTTTACATAATAAAAGTTGTAATTGTGGATTAAATTATATATTGTTTTCACTGTTTTTGGTTTTCTTTTACTTAGATATTTTATAGCGCTTTAACATTTTGCATCCATCGTCTCCGTATAAATCAGTTCACAAACTAGGACAAGCTGTGGTCCGCATCCCCGAATCTCCAGCAGAATTGCTCCTGCTACACTATGTGTACAATTTTTCTTTAAAATCTATATTTACTTGATTTTTTTCTGTCGGAAAATTAGGTGATTAGCTTCTATAATCTACTAGAAGATGCCTGCGAAATCGCGTTACGAGTATGTCGTTCTCTGTTTGTTTGTAATCGACGATCCAGTCGTTTTTTTTTGCTAATAATTAAATTCGTAGGTTTAAATAATTTCATCTTTTAGTCAACACATTGGGTAGGGGGGTTTACACATAAAAAGGGGGAGGGGTCCGGAGGTCGGGTGCCTGTGTTTACACATAAAAAGGGGGGGAGGGGTCCGGAAGTCGGGTGCCTGTGTTTACACATCAAAAGGGGGAGGATCACTTCGACACGTTCAACGCCCATTTCATTTTTGGACAGTTCTGCACCTGAGTAAAAAGGGTGGATGTCGTTTATTTTAGCAAAATGATGCACTTACAATAAAATACAGGATCCTTATAGGCCTAACTGTCCTATTTTCTATCCTTTCTTCTTACTCTCACTTGGATTTCGCGGGCAGTACGTCAACTGAGCATGCGAGAAAGCGTATAAGACACGGATCGATAATGGTCTCCGAATTTGGATATTTTCTCAAAAATTGGCGTTTTCTGTGGAAAAAAACATTGTTTCAAAGACAAATTTAGGAAGTACAAAATACTACATTTATACGTCATATCACAAATATTTCCGACTTTGTATGATTTCAGAGGAGTTGCGGCTCAATGAAATCGGTCTCTTCCTTTAGTAGTATAGATATTCAAATCTATATATCTTTATACATATCTGTATAGATTATCTATATTACTTTTAAAGAGAATTTTACACAACTCAGTAGATAAAGTAAAAAACTAGAGGTTCTCAAGAGCCTGTGTCGCTCACCTGATTCTACTTTGGTTTTGGAAATCATGTAAAAATAGATTAAAATCATAACAGATACCATAATAATGATTGAGGCCAAATTTGGTTTAATATTGGTCCGATAATTTATTCATTATATTCAGTGGTTCTCTAGAAGAAAACATTTGTATGTATTTCACATAGGGTCCTATGTTAAACTTATTCCAACTGCTGGCAGCCATCCTGGATGACAAATCAGCTAAAAAGTAACAACACTTGGTCAGCACCTCTAAAGAACCATTTATACCATGTTTGGTTTCAATCCATTGAGCGGTTTTCTAGAAGAAGACATTTGTATATATTTCATATAGGGTCCTTTGTTAAACTAAGTCCCCCGCTGGCAGCCATCTTGGTTGATAGATTTGCTACAAAGTAACAACACTTGGTCAGCACTTCATGAGAAACATTCATGCCATGTTTGGTTTTATTCCATTCAGTGGTTCTCTAAAAGAAGACTTTTGTATGTATTTCACATAGGGTCCTTTGTTAAACTAAGTTCCCCACTGGCAGCCATCTTGGATGATTGATTGGCTACAAAGTAACAACACTTGGTCAGCACCTCATAAAGAACATTCATGCTATGTTTGGTTTCATTCCATTCAGTGGTTCTCTAAAAGAAAACATTTGTATGTATTTCCCATAGGGTCCTATGTTAAACTAAGTCCCCGCTGGCGGCCATCTTGGATGATTGATCGCCTACTAAGTTACAACACTTGGTAAGCACCTCATAAGGAACATTCATGCCATGTTTTATTTCATTCCATTTAGTGGTTCTCTAAAAGAAGACATTTGTATGTATTTCCCATAGGCTCCTATGTTAAACAAGCCCCCTCTGGCGGCCATCTTGGATGATGGATCGGCTTCACAGTAACAACACTTGGTCAGCACCTCATAAGGAACATTCATGTCATGTTTGGTTTACTTCCATTCAGTGGTTCTCTAAAAGAAGACATTTGTATGTATTGTCCATAGGGTCCTATGTTAAACGAAGTCCCCCGCTGGCGGCCATCTTGGATGATAGATCGGCTTCCAAGTAACAACACTTGGTTAGCACCTCAAAAGGAACATTCATGCCATGTTTGGTTTCATTCCATTCAGTGGTTCTCTAAAAGAAGACATTTGTATGTATTGTCTATAGGGTCCTATGTTAAACTAAGTCCCCCGCTGGCGGCCATCTTGGATGATGGATCGGCTACAAAGTAACAACACTTGGTCAGCACCTCATAAGGAACATTCATGTCATGTTTGGTTTCATTCCATTCAGTGGTTCTCTAGAAGAAGTTCAAAATGTAAAAAGTTAATGACGACGATGGACGACGACGGACGACGGACGACGGACGACGGACGCCAAGTGATGAGAAAAGCTCGCTTGGCCCTTTGGGCCAGGTGAGCTAAAAAAGGAAGGATCATGGTAAACAAGCCTTAATTTGTCAATGTATTGTGAACAATATTTGTCTAACATAAATTTTTGACATGGGTAATGTTACACTTACAATGTATGACTGAACTTTGATGTTCTTAAGGATGTACTTAGGTCAGGTTGAGGAATTTTTATCAGATGTCCGAACTCCTTGGTTTTTTTCCTACGATACAGGGTAAAATATTTTGCCCCATAACACCCATTTTTCTTTTCATATAAGACTTCAATAGCTCATAAAAGGCCATTTATCAAAATTTAAGCAGATTCTAGATTTCTTTTCTTTCGATGTGAGACCCAAATAAAACCAATGCAAACATAATGGTGAAAGACCGAGTCAGCCTTTTCCAGCCATTTTTTAAAAACTTAAATATCTCGAAAAGGAGCTTCATAATCTATCAATATTTTTAGCTTATTTTGTTCCTTAACTAATGATCTTCTTACTTAAAGTATCAATTTTAAATTCTAGATTTATTTAATTGCACCTAAGTACATTCTTAAGAAAGGTAAACATGTTGTTTATTAATATTTAACCAGTATCAAATATTTCCACGGGCAATTATTAAGTAATGAAAATAAAAATTACCTCTGTTATATTTATGACATTATCTTACACAACATTTTGATCCTATTTCGGACTGTTGCCATTTTGGGTAATTTATAATTTTACGTTGACCAAGAAAGTCACTTTGCCATAACATCAATTAAATGAGCGGCTATATAAGTTAAACATTCTGCCTGAGACGTTAGGCTTGAATACAAAATGTGTAGGTGTCGGTCGATCCCGGCCTGGCAACAATGCGATATAATATCCTAGTCATTGCTAACAGCGAGTTTACCCATGCACTATGTCATACTAACCATGCCAGCTCTCAAAGAAGTCGTTTTTCTGATGAGAGTCTGTCAAGAATAAATTGAACAGCCAACATCTCAGACAAACAAACAATGGAACAACTCAGATATAAACATTTTTTTTTGACACAATATATAGTTGATCATGCTTCTAGATACAATAAATGTATTGATAGTTTAATTCCGAGATAGTCTGTTATTCTGGGTCCAATCCCATTTTACACTCACACACAAGTCACCTGGTTACGTCAGATATCCTTGCAGTGTTAGGATCAACAAAACGTTGTCTCCATGAAATATCAACTTATAAACAATAACAACAATGTCACCTGAGCATAGGTTTTTACCAGGGTGAAGGGGTCAAAATAGAAAAGTGTTATCGAGCATTTCAGGTGTAAATTTGTTAAAATCAATTAATTGCTCTAGTCGCCTGCTTGGTAGACTCATAACGTGATACAACTTTTTCAACCTCCACGTTGTTACAGTAACTATCTCTGAATTCCCCTACTGCAATAACAAGGTATAAAAAACCTTTGAAAGCTGACTATACGGTATGGGTTTTGCTCATTGTTGAAGGTCGTACGGGACATGCAACTTTTTTACATCCACGTCATTTGGACTTAGTTGGATAGTTGTGTCATTGATAATCATACCATATGTCCTTATTTTATATAGATACTGTGACGACGAGTCGTAAATCGATATTTTTAGGTTTTCCCATATGTCAAAGACTGTTATTTTTGACGTTGATATTATACTAGAGTTCAGTTCAATTGCTATTTTGCTATACACTTATATTTAGTGTATAACAGACATATTGCAGACATGTATAATTGTTTCTTTTTGAAGGTTAGAAATACCCGAAAGTTACCTTTTGAATAAAGTATGACATATATCCAGTAAGTAGTTGGCCATGAAGAGTATAACTTCCGTCTAAGGGGGACAAGAGATTACAGTCATCATCCATACAGAAGAGAAACACTTTAATCATGGACTGGCTGTATTCTGTTGGTATATCCTCCTTTGACCTACAGATTTAAAGATATAAGTGACAAGATCATGCTTTCTACTGTTGAATAGTAAAATTACTGAATTTCAGTTGAATCTATTCGTTTGACGTGTATGAGCTTTTAATTTTGCCATTTGATTAGGGACTTTCCGTTTTGAATTTTCCTCGGAGTTCGGTATTTCTGTAATTTTACTTTTTTCTGAGGTCTGTCGTGTTTTGCTAAATAGTTTAAGCACTTTTAAAACTTTGTTTAAAGTAGAAATCAATTTTACATTAAAAGAAAAGGTATAATAAGGCCACGTTAATTAAGCCATTTTCTTATATTTTACCTATTTTTCAAACTAGGTATACACGATAAGATCGCCTGTATGTATTATAATTTATTTATGAGTTTTCTAGTATTTTATGACAGCATATTAACATTTTCGTCATTGAAAATACCCAGGTTGAATTTTCTTCAAAAAATGGTAAATAACTATTTTATGTTGAAAGCTATACGTGTTAGAAGTTATTACATTGAAATATAAAAACAGAAACACCACTTAATTTCAAAATGCATGACACTCTTTGCTTCCATGTACAAATTTAAGTTCATTTTCAAAATCGGAGATGTTAAATTACGTGTGTATGGTATCTAGAATGTAACAATGTTTCCGTTACATTTTGAAATAGCCTAGTCGATTGATATAATTATCTCACTCAAACATTTTTTTGACCCGATAAAAAACAACTACGCATGCATTGATCACCAAAAAAACGCACATACAAATGAAAAAATAGAGATGTCTCTTTTAAGCAACTATGTCTTTATAAAGTTTTCATCTATACCGATGAATTCTAAGAAACCAAACATTATACTGTAGAAGCTTCATTATCTCTTCACCCCAGTCAAGCCATTCTCAATTTTACATATGAAAACATTTTTATTACCTATTTTGGTTCCGTTACTTTCGGCACCCCTAACGCATATAAGGAACGGTAGTTAGTGTATATTTTATCGTGTTTAATTCGTCAAGTAATTTCTTTTAGCACCGTTACCATTAGTGCAACTAGAAAAGTGTAAACTAACAAAGGGAAATAAATCGGTTGATTTTTTCATTAAGAACATAAATTGTTATTCAGTAGTTTGGGAAATACAATGCATGTATATTTTACTTTCTTTAATCTTGCATTGCAATAGTTTTTGTGATAACTATTTTTAATGTCGATGTAAACTCAAGATATGATATTCTTTGTTCCATTACGGATATAAGAATTATCAGACTCAGTAAGTTGTTATTCACTCAGTGAACGACATTATTACAGATTCACCGATATATATTCAAACTTATGCTTACCTTAATGCATACCATATTGCTCTAAAAATTGTAATGGCATTACTAGTAAATCTAAACTCATGCCAAGGATAACCTGGATCAAGTATAAGTTCTTCGAGTTTCTTCATCAGTTCAGGGCAAACCTCAGAACATTTCTGTAAATATGTAATAAAAATTGAACGAATCCTTACTTCAGTACAATTGTAAGTGTGTAATCATGTATAAACAAAGAAACAATTAAAGGGTACCATGAATGCTTTGATTTCGTTTAATATTCTGGATCGTTAAGAAATTGTGTATGCATTAGGAACTGCATATCTACGTCAAATTTTTAAAGAACATTTTAAGATGCCAAATTTAATTTTATGCAAATTTCGATAAAGTATTTCTTGTCAGTATTGCACCAAATCAAGTATCGGTAAACCGGAGTTTGTTTGTCTAAAAAACGAAATTTTTACTAACATTATTACAAAGTCATAAAGACAATAATCAAATTGATCCATTACAACAATCACCCCATATCAATAACCCAATCCATAAATAAAATGATGTTAAAAAATTAATGCATAGATATTAGATGATTTACGTTAACTTACCTCAAAATCAATTTCACCACTGTATTCCCCTATCATTTTATAGGAGAGTAGCGATCTCAGTTTCATTTTGTTAATTGTCATTCGTCCAACTTCAGTCATAATCATGTGATCAATTTTAAGAACTCTAAAAATGAGAAGCTCTTAATAATAAAACATATCTAACAACTAATTTCACTGAGCGATATTAAACACTTAGGAATTTAATGCTTCTTTGTTTAATCGTATTGGAGATAAAAGCGTTGACCGAAGAACATTTTGTATGAAGCACAGAAGCACTTCATACTAAAAATGTGTGCACGATTAACGCTTTTACAACACTATAAAAATACAAAAAGAAGCATTCAATTCTTATAATTGCATTTTTTTACAACCACGAAACGACGTGTTATATCAATTTTTTTCTTTTGTTTTCGTATGCATTGTTGTGACGTTGTCACGAGAAGCACGCACTCATAGAAATCATAATTCCAAAAACTAATAACAAAGAATACAATTTTCATTCCTTTTTTTTTTTAGCTCACCTGGTCCAAAGTTTTTATTTCTCAGTTGGTTTGACATCCGCCGTATTTGAAATAACGTTCAAAATTGCAACTTATTTACCATTTCTCCCAAAAGCTATGATAATCTTTAGTTCATCCATTGTCATGAATTGGATGTTATATACTATTTTGTCAGTACCATTCCGTTGACAGAGTTACATTTTATATGAATGATGTGCAATTTCCACAACTCATTCAATTTCGAATTATATGATTGTGTCTTTCCCAAAATTAGAAACTTCGTAGTTTCTTACATATGTGATTTGGTAGTATTCATGGTGTTAATATTTATTTTTAATCATCTTCTAAACGTGACGTTTAGTTTTTTCAGTCAAATAATATTCGAAGTGGGTTGAATATGTGGATTTTACACGCAAATCAACTTACTGTAGCATTTTTATTAGATTGTATACAGCTGATCCACATTGTTCAACAATGCTTCTGTCGTCCCATTCATCTCCCTCTGTTGGCAAGTTCAGCTTATCGACTATATCTATCATTTCTATAGCTTCATGAATATTTTGCTAAAAACATCAAAATATGATCAAATTATAATTACAATTAACTTCAAATTTTTGTTATCGTACATTTTTCTTTGTTTTACAGCATGTACATTTCCGACGCTAAAAAACGTTCCAAACGCTTGAATTTAGCAATTTGTACAAATTTACATTTTCAAAACACTGCGTAAATTTGAATTTGAAAACAAAAGATATGGGTTTGATTCATATAATAAAAACTACTACGAAACAAACAATATATACAAGGATTTGTACTGTAAAGGTTATTTTTCATTTTGACTCTTACCGGAAGATCTTCAACTATGATTTAATAAAGAGCAAGATCAAAACGTTCATGCGCTACGTTTTATTTTGGTTTTTTTCTATACCCCATTCATGTGTGAGCAATCAATACATTGTATATAAAACAATTACAAGTACAATTATTTTGTATTTGTGACAGATATCTTCATCTTTTACAAAGGCATTAACATACTAGTAATTAAATCTTCTGATCATCACAATTTGTATTCAAGTGATCCAACAACAAATCAAAAACATAACCCCCGTAAGCATCAACCAGGAACATATATATACTGTTCCCAGCATTAACCAGGAACATATATATACTGTTCCCAACATCAACCAGGAACATATATATACTGTTCCCAGCATCAACCGACCATTATTTGATGTGAACGAAGTTTTTAACAAGTATAAGAACACATTGAAACTCTGAGCTTTCTGTCCATGAAACATGTTTAACTTTTTGTGTTTTCTATATTTCATGTATGACACGCAGGCACCAGATTCATTCAGTCTTGTGAAGGGAATGTTTATAATTTATTACCCTAAACAATGACGAACATTTTGTTGCAAAAATAATCAAAATACAACATATCAACCTTTCGTCACAGACTTTGTGGAATCCCACTCATTTCGATTAATTAGACAAACTTCATCATATCATATTAATTAGAATGCAGCAAATCTCATAACAATAGTTAAGTAGTATTTATCTCCCAATTTGTAAGCAAAAGGAGACGGCTAATGGATACTGCTACATGTAGACGATGTTAATAAGGTCTTTTCGGACTATCATAAAAAAAAATAAGGGTATTCCACAAATAATATAAGTTGTAATCCGAATTTGACAATTCGATTCTAACCTGAAAACGTAGAGCATTCAAGATTTATTCGTAACCGCTATATGCTATTAGTATCATTTATCATACAAGTGGGATGTTTAGCTAGCTATAAAACCATTTTCTTCGGGAAATGCCTGTACGAAGTTAGCAATATGGCAGTTGTTTTTCACTTGTTCTGTTGATTGATAGAGTTTGATTTTATCAGTTTTTAGGACTTCCCCTCTTTGGATTTGCCTTGGAGTTCGGTATTTTTTTTATATACTTTTTTGTTTCGATAGTTTCATGCGTCACAATGGGTATCCTTTACCATTTTTCGTTATATCTTGGCCTTTTATATTAGAAAAAAGAGTAGATATATTGACGAAAGATAAAGGAACTTGTCTGTTTTACATTTGTATGTTAACCTTTGACGGCTTTTACGTCTTTTGTCGACATTTTTGTGTTGCTCTGTCTTCGTATCTGTTATATCATAGGCCTACTCAGTTAATGACACAACCTAGCGTGAAGGAATTTGAAATTCACTAAAACAATATATTACAACTATGTTTTTACCTTCCAATTCCACATCAACTTTAGATTATTGTTATCCAAAATTCTTCTCACTCCTTTCTGCATTTTATATGTTGGAATTGCCCACATAGCTTTGGTGATTTTGAACCAGTGCTGTACATCGCTCCTTCAAAAACATAAAAAATCCATGTTTGGACGAAATCGTTAAGGGCATACAATACAGTTACAGGGGAGGTAATGACGTCGCTAACGTAAAATGTTATTTTTCGCGACGTCAAATTGCGACATATCGAGAAAAGATGCATTTTTCGACTCATTTTTATCATTCAGACTGATTTATCTTGAAAACGAGTTCATGGACCCCTATTTTTAAAAATGACATTAGGCTTGATTATGTATGAAGATTATTTGTGCCAATTATTATGAACAAATCACCGATGAAATTTTTTTAAATTAGATAAATATACATCCAAAAATGCCGTTTTTTGACTAAAATCATGAAAATATGAAAAAAATGAATTATTTCTAAAGAGTTATTACACAAACTCAAAACACACTTATGTAGAGAAGATATTCCAGATGTTTTTACAAAACTCCGCTTGCGTTTATGTTTTGAAACAAAAAAGTTAAGTATGTCTTTCTATTGGTTAAAAATATCCAAAAAACCGAAATGTCCAGTAAATGTCTAAAATTTCGACCCCATTTATCTCTAAAAGTAGCACATGAAGGTATATTTTTTATTACATATTTGAATTGACTAGGTGACAAATAGCTTGTATGCAAACTTTCGTCAAAAATTCACCGTGGAATCAAAACTGTATCGTATGCCCTTAAGTCAAAAATTTAATCATTGATCGATTGATTGTTTGCTTCACGTCTAGTGACTCTTAAATCCTAAACCTAAACTGTCCACTGAGCTAGGCTTATAAAAGTGAATTGACGTTTGAATATGCTAGTGACTGAAATACAGCGAATCAATGAAGTTGATGATAGATATAAATTTTGACTATTTTTCTAATGTTTTATTTGATGTTGTCGCAGATGCAGGTACCCCTTAAAATATAATTTGAAGTCTGAATGGCTGTGTTTCTGGGCAAGGAATAGAATTCATATAAAATTCCTTAATTCAGTTCATATATGATTTAAAACTGTTTATTAAGGAAACTCCAATATTGAATAATAACTGATGTGATTACTGTAGTAAGTTGAAACAGTATCTATTAGTTACATAGATATAAAATTTGTAAAGTGTCTCGCCTACAGTTGGAGGAGAAATTGCGATGACAAGATCTTTTCTGCCAAAATTTCTAAGTTCAAAGTGCTTAACTGAAACAAAAAAACTTAATGGACCAGAATTTTCAATCCACATGCACATCTGCATATTATGATCTAAAAAAAACAATGCACTAAGTTTCTTGTAGATAGGATAGACAATGTAGACGAAAGGGCATAATTGTTGTTTAGTTTCTTCACATGGTAATGTTTGCATTCATGATTTTTATTCTACAAATTTTGAAGTGAATCAAACAAACAAAGGATACAGAAGGTGGTCCGGACAGACCGACGAACAGAAAGGCTGATTCCTTTATAACCCTTTGTTTGCTGAGGGGGGGGAGGGGGGTATAATAATTAGGACGAGAATAGATTAACTGTAATTCCAACAGGTAGGTTCTGAAAAGGCAGTCAACCGGAATGAATTTTTCAATGAGTCTTTAACAGAGAGAGAGCATGACACTCTTCCTACACGAGTCATCGGATTTAAAGTCCCAGTTCATATCGACTTTACATATAATGCACAGCCAAACTGACGCCAACCTTCAGCATGGTTTTACGACCACACGGAAGAAGTCCAGGTGACCATATGTCTATACCACAGTCAATCCTAGCCGGTCACAGCCAAATTGACGCCAACCTTCAGCATGGTTTTACGACCACACGGGAGAAGTCCAGATGACCATATGTCTATACCACAGTCAATCCTAGCCGGTCAGAATATTTGATATCATTGTGAAGAAATATAAAAAAAATCAAAACAAAATCTTTCATTCAGTCATTCGTAAATGAAAAAAATATAAACAAATATTTACAGTTATTGTTCAATTAATACAAATGCTGATTTTTTATTGGCTAAAAGACGAATCATTTGATTCCGTTATATGTCTCTTTTTGTATGAAAACAACCCATGCAGTATGAAAGCAATGCAAATTTATAGAATTAATAGCTCCGTCACATTAATTAATCATCACTGTTGTTTTCGCATTTTTCGCGTACTTCGTACAATAGGTATGCATTTAGGAAAATCGCAAATTTTATTAATTTGAAAAAATTAGTTAACAATATACTTTGTAAATAAGGATAATTGATTTAGATATTATATAACAATTAATAATTATCTTAATATACTGTATAATAATAATGGAAATTTGATAAGCATTTTACGATCTATCTAGTTTAAAATCGCCGACATCTTTATTATGCAAATTTCAGCTATTTCACGTAGAATGATACTTCTTTCATCTCACTAGACACTATTTGCCGAAGTTTTGAGTTAAAGTTTTACTTTTAAATTTAAAATGTTAATAGCATACATTCCGAAAATCTGTAAATATAAGAATTGAATGCTGTATGTTGGATTTAATGTGCGCACGGTCAACGCTTTTACAACCCTATAAAATTACTAAAAGAAGCATTCAATACTTATAATTACATTTTTTTGCTAAGATCATGAAAACATGATTTCTATCAAGTATTTCTTTTATTTACCTGTGCACTTTATTGTGGAAGCTCGTGTCATTATGAATGTTACATTTCATTTTGAAATGAAGGTTAATTTCAGAATGACGCGAGATTGCTGTTAGCCAATCAAAATAACGTATTAAAATGAAACATACATATAATGTAATAATACGAAATAAAAAAAAGTGACCGTCACATGTTATGCAAGACGCGCGCATCCCATGCAAAGTGTGAAGGTCACTTGCATGTATTTCGTATAAATTAAACAAGAGTGCACACGCTGAAATGTCTCGCCTGCTTTACTGACCATTGATTTTATGTTGAAAGTCTTAAAGATAAAGGTTTTACTAAAACATTACAGAAACTTAACAAATTTAAAAAATCTATGACAATGAGGTCAAGGTCAGATAAATTGTGTCAGACAGACGTATACACCTTACAACAGACCAAAAACATAAACTTAACATTGACCAATGAACCATAAATATAAGGTCAAGGTCAGATGATACCTGCCAGACAGACATGTGCACATTACAATTATCCCATACACCAAATATAGCTGACCTATTGCTATTCGTATTTGATAAAACAGACCAAAACACAAAAACTTAATATTGACCATTGAACCATAAAAATTAGGATCAAGGTCAGATGATACCTTCCAGACAGACATGTACACCTTACAATCATTCCCTACACCAAATATAGTTGACCATTTGCTTATAGTACTTGAAAAACAGACCAAAACACAAAAAACTTAACATTGACCAACGAACCATGAAAATGAGGTCAAGGTCAGATGATACCTGCCAGACAGACATGTACACCTTACAATCATTCCATACACCAAATATAGTTGACCTATTGCTTATAGTACTTGAAAAACGGACAAAAACACAAAAACTTAACATTGACCAATGAACCATGAAAATGAGGTCAAGGTCGTATGAAACCTGCCAGACTGATATGTACCCAATAAAATCATTCCATACACCAATTATAGTTGACCTACTGCTTATAGTAATTGAGAAACGGACCTAATCACGTAACATTGATCACTGATCCATAAAATGAGGTTGAGGTCAAGTGACCTCTGTCTGACGGACATGTAGACGTTGCAAGGAACCCATATACCAAATATAGTTATCCTATTACTCATAATAAGTGAGAAATTCACATGACAAAAAAACTCAATTTTTTTTCAAGCAGTCGCTGAACCATGAAAATGAGGTCAAGGACAATGGACATATGATTGACGGAAACTTCGTAACATAAGGTATCTGCATACAAGATATGAAGCATCCAGGCCTTCTACCTTCTGAAATATAAAGCTCTATACAAATAGTTTACGCCGCCGCCGCCGGATAGTAAAACCTGTCTCGCATACTGCGACTTTCGTCGCAGGTGAGACAAAAATCAGCATTGAATTTCAATTTTATAATGAATATAGCACAATGGTACTGTGACCTGATGTTTCATTAAACGATGTCGTACTGATTACCTGCAGAATCCATCAAAACGCATAATTTCTAGAATAGAATTTTTTTTTCTTACTTAAACATGCATATATGGACTCTTATGATTAGCTCCTTTTGTATTATTAATGGGCATTTCCATTTGCAACGAAATGTTTAAAAATGACATGAACGTCCAGCAAAGTAAGATTGATTATTGAAGACAAATATTTTTTGCTAGTTTTGTGAAATTTGGCAAAATTAATGTACAGATGAAAAAAAAAACAATTATCTTACTCTTTTGGCTTAAAGTCTTCCCTTGTTTCTGTAATTAACGTTGGTGCATATTCATCTTCAATCCCCGACTGTTTAAAGTTTTCAAGAAGTTCCAAATATTGTGTTGTCCATTCTCCGAATGATTTAAACGCCAGTTCTCCCTGAAAGTATGTAAAACAAATGTTAAAAATACATATTGCACACTGTTAAAGGAATGTTCCGAATGGCTTCACGACGGCTGCATGTGAAATGACTAAAATAACACAGTGTCTTTATACAAAATATACAATGCTGTGTATGCGTACTTGATTTTTCCGATCTTACACAAATGGTGTTAAAAAAAGGAACGTAGGCACACTCGAAGTTGAATATGAATTTAATTCAAATAGTGTAATGCATAAAAGGATGCGTAATAATAAGATCCAAAAGTTTTCTCTTCTCCTTCTCCGCTGTAATGAGATCCAAAAGTTTTCTCTTCCCCTTCTCCGCTGTTAATAATTTGTCACTAATGTCTTTATGTCTCCTGACCTAAAAAGCAAACAGAATTGACTGCAAAGAACTTCTTGAGTGCAGGGATAAGCTTTAAGGAGCCAACAGAACACATCCTTTTGATAAAGTCACTTTTCAAATTATAAAAGTGAACACTGAATGAGATACCGCAGCGAGAAGGAGATGAGAAAACTTTTGGAACCACCAGCTCCATACTTTAGAAGCTGATGGTCTAAATGAAAAAGACTAAAAAAGGTACAGGAAAGTAAAAGAATAGGTTTATTAGGTGTCATCGTACTTAATATCTCTATAATATTGGCCAATGGACATTGAAAACTTACCTTACTTCAACAACAGATAACGTAAATTAAATAAAAAATCTTGAACGTCATCCAATTGATTTATTACGCGCAGCAAAATAAATGTACAATAAGCTGCAACAGTTTTTTTTATCTGCATCCGATTTCACCTGGATAGATGCAAAGCTAGTTTGTCTAGCGAAATATTGCGTTTATCTTTTTATCGCATTGTGTAAATATTTTTAACATTTAAAAATTCTAATATTTACATACTAAATATATAGTGTTAAAATAACATTGGTAGACATTTTATAGTAGGCAATTTATATAATTATACATAAATCGTCTAGACAATAGTCAACGATCTTTCTTACGAGGGCGATGGATCGTTATGAAAAAAGCCATTGACTATGAATGTAAGCCGTACCTTCTTCTCAGTCGACTTTTGAGACGCCCTGGCCACACTATTAAAGGCAGATCTCAATCGACTGACTTTTACAATCATTGACCACAACACAGTTTGGTTTAGGGAGGACTAGAAAATTAACAGCGTTGTCGCCGAATGGGATCAATGAAAAGGTGTAGTTCAAATCGCACAGTGCTACCTACCTACCGCAGCTGGATGTGTTAGTTTCATTTGGGATACATGAATACGCAGCCTCTGCTGTAGATATTAATTTTGTGTGAACTTTGGAATTTTAGAATTATACAAGCATGGTTCGATTTTTAATTTGTATTACGTTCAAGAATGTTTTAGTATTAACAGAATAGATTGATAAGATTCATTTTACATCATACTGATGAAGGATATCTGTTATCCGAAATATTTATTGATTCTTGTATTTACTGTTTCCTTTTTAAATATTGGTGCTGTTTTGTACACTTTATATATATTATATATAACCCCACCCCAGAGAATATATGATTCACTTTAAAGTTATTCTTTTACATTTATTTCAAATCTATAACGTATAATCGACAAAAATATTTCATTCTGTGGGTGTTGATCGAAAATTTTGGCTGCTAATTATCCTTCGGATTTTGGTGCAGACGTTTTACCGATCGTTATTTTTTTTATAATAAATCAACACAGAATCATGGAGCACGTGAAAAATAAGTGAGACGATAGAACTATATATATTTGTTTTTTAATGCTGTCTATGCTAACCATTTGTTAATTAAACTTTTTCATAAAAGTTGTTAAGGATGTATTCTTCTGATGTTTCAGTCTCGTTGAAATCTCGTTCGGGAATTATTTCCAAAACTTGTGATACAAGTGGACAATATCAATGAATTTAAAAAATGTTATAATCAAACTCGACTTTGTGAAAATAAATTGTGTACTCACAATAAGTAGTTTTTGAGTAATAAAATTTTCAAATTTTATAACCAATCCGATCCGTGTCATCAGCCAAAAATTTGAGAAAATGGTTGAAGGGTACAAAGAAATAATTTTACCAAAAATATGTACATCCCATATCAATTTTTTCTTTTCAAAATTCTTAGATATATATTTTTTCAGTCAAGAAGTTGAAGTAACATGCATTTTGTTCTAAAAAAAAAAAGAAGAAAAATCCCAAATTTACAAAATTGACAGCATGGTCAATTTTGACACGAAAAAACAACAAAATTTTATAAAACTTTCTAATATAAACACCAACCTATAGTTTTTTATGTTAAATTTAATCAGATTGGTCCACTTCATCTGTAGTGAAAGTATGAAAAAAAGTTTAATTGTGAAACTGTGATTTTTTTCATGATAATAGCCCAAAAATGGGTAAAAATTGATGAAAAATGGGAAAATCATTACAAATGGGGTACTTTAAAAAAAAAGTGCACCATCATATTATTTTTTCTTCATCAATTACTTTCTAACAGTCATATTAACCCAAAAATCGATCAAGAAAAAAAAAAATTTAATTCTACAAATTTTTGGCTCCTCAGAGGTGTACATCCTTTTTTAATGATTTGGTGTATTAGAATTTTTCTTTCAGCGTCGATTAATACTACCTTTCTTGCATTTTATTTATCTTTTTCTCCATTGCAGTTTTCCTTCGCACTTGCGTTGTGCGGTGGTCAAATTTTTAACGAAAGGTGTTATCGCGAAAAGTGTTATCGTTAAGGTGGACTGCATATGGAAAAGCTGTCGGCGAATTAGAGTACGGAAAGACAACAATTCAATAGTGGTACATTTCTTAAGATTTTGGTAAAATAAAGGATCATCTGTTTAAAAAAAAAACATGTATGTACACATGTTTTAAAGTTAAACTTAGCCATTTAAGTATATAAAACATATTCAGCCTTTTTTGTTAAATTTAAAGTATCATATGACTTTGAGAGGTGGGGATCCGAACCATTTTTAAGTTATTTAAAAATTAATTATACGAGTGGGTTGGGAATGATCCCCTCCAGAGCCAATCCCTCAGGTGCACTGAAAAGGTTTTTCCATGACAAGAAAAGACATGGTTTGGAGTGGACATGGAAATCTTCCTAATTTCCTAATTTGACATTTAAGTCAAAGATCAAGGTCAGAGGTCATTTCAATGGTAGGCGACACATTGTCTTGACGTGATTTCCACCGTCTCAGAACGTAACGAAAGAATCGACCTCAGGTCAATATTACCGAAAAAGTCTAAGTCATAGATATAAGTTCTTCACACTAAATTCTACTTTCGTTTCATAACCGCCAAATATAAAAAAAATATAACGTCGATTCCATCGGGACGTTTTAAGAGCGTATATGTGGTGCACTTATGTATCCCTATGTCAAAGGATGAAATAGTTATTTTCCGGACACGAAAATTAATTAAAAAAAAAAAAACCCCACTAAAACACAATAAAAAAAAAGAAAGGAAACTTAAAGATTAATGTCGGCATCTTTCGTGGCACCTAAAAAGAAACTCCCCTTTTCCAACACTCATAAAGGGGACTTTTTAATGATCAGGTAAAACGAATTTCTCGAAAAAAACGACACACTTGTTTCTTCAACTATATTTTTTTCTATGTTACATGGTATAACCGGTCAATCCATGTGAAACAAGCTATACGATAGTCACACGAAGAAGATCAACTTGGAAGTGCCATTAGTACCGACTGCTCATTATAGAAAATTGAATAAAATGTGAACCTTTGTGGTTTATTTCGCCTTTTTAAAAAAACAAAATATCTTAATCGAATACTGAAAATTCAGAAACTTTTGCGTGCACTTATTAATGTAATTGTTGAACAATAAACAAACAGATAAATTGTTGCGATTTCAGAAAATGCTGCATACAAATAATGCTATCAAAATTTAAAATGCCAGTTCTTATTTTTGCAAAAGCTATCCCATCGCAATTTTCGTAATAATTAAAAACATCTAAAAATTCTGAATTTACAGTATTTTTTTGTAGTCTACTTTTCAATAATACCATAGCTTTTTCCTTTTCATCATTCGCAGCTTCTTGTACTGTATTATGAAGGTTTAATAACGGTTCTATCAAACTCGCCAATTCTTGTGCTTTGTTGGAAGCAGCGAGTTGTTTGAATAGTCTTAAAAGGTCAGGCTTTAAAGCAGCGCTCTGTTCTTTATACTCCTCTTCACTTAGATAAGAAAATAAACATGAATTATATTTTATTTTATTTTTTATAATCATGTTCAGAAAAACTTTTTGAAATAAATCGTGTAAATAAATAGATAAACAAACGTATTTAGAACTTACTTTATTATCGCCCCAATTATGTCACTAATTATAGCTAGAACTTACTTTATGTCTATTAATACCCACGCTACATCAATCTTTAAAGACCTAAATGTTGCAAAACACTTGTCCTACCTCCATGACAAATATGTTGTTGTCCCCGCAGATAAAGCCCCAAACAACATCGTTTGTGCGTGTAAATCACATTACATAAACTGCTTGATAAATGAATTAGGTATAATTGACAATTCACTTGGAAACTCAACACATACCCCCACGACACTTACTTAAGAGGAAATCCTGGATAATCATAGGTCTATTCTATGTTCCTTTGGAATTTTAACCAAAGATGAAGAACTGGATCTTCCAGCACTGTATTGGATACCTAAACTACATAAGTGTCCTTACAAATAACGGTATACTGATGGGTCTTCCAAGTGCTCCACGAAACCTCTTTCTAAATTATTAACATCAATTTTATCAGCAATCAAAGCCGGGCTTCAAAGTTATTGTGAAACTACATATTCTTGAGGTGGCGTGAATCAGATGTGGATACTAAAAAATACATACAATCTAAAACTCTTTCATCTTGCAATAGTATTGAAACATTTGACTTTTCTACGCTTTACACAAGTATTCCCCATTCCAAACTAAAACACAAATTGAAAGAGTTGGTCCTGTTTTGTTTCATAAAAAAAGAATGGCCAACGTAGATACGAGTATCTTGTCTTAGGGAGGGATAAATCCTACTTTGTAAAAAATCACTCTGGTTCGAACAAAAAATTCTCTGAAACTGACATTATCGAAATGCTTGATTTCTTGATTGACAACATACTTGTTACGTTTGGAGGACGTGGTTTTCAACAAACAATCGGCATTCCCAAACTGGGAACAAACTGTGCCCCTCTTATTGTCGACTTGTTCCTTTATTCATATGAGGCTGACTTCATACAGGAACTTATTAAGAAGAAAGAAAAGAAGTTAGCAGTATCCTTTAACTTTACTTTCCGTTATATAGATGATGTTCTCTCACTAAATAATTCATAATTTGGTGACCATGTTGAACGCATCAATCCCATCGAACTTAAGATAAAGGATACAACAGATACAGTTAAGTCTGCCTCATATCTTGACTTACATATAGAAATTGACAATGAGGGTCGGTTGAAACAAAACTTTACGACAAAAGAGATGATTTCAGCTTCCCAATTGTGAACTTTCCATTTCTTTGTAGCAACATTCCAACAGCGCCTGCTTACGGAGTATATATCTCCCAGTTGATACGATATTCCAGGGCTTGTACTTCATATCATGATTTCCTTGATAGAGGGTTGCTGCTTACAAGGAAGCCATTAAACCAAGAGTTCCAAGTGGCGAAGTTGAAATCATCACTTCGTAAGTTTTACGGACGCCATCACGAGTTGGTTGACCGTTATGGAATATCCGTTTCACAGATGATAGCGGATATGTTCCTAAGTTGTAACCACATTCCCGTCCCCCCTTTTCCGGAATGTGACCTATCGAATTAGACTTATTACCGGGTTTGTACTCACTTGAGCAAACGACGGGTACCACATGTGGAGCAGGATCTGCTTACTCTTCCGGAGCACCTGAGATCACCCCTAGTTTTTGGTGGGGTTCGTGTTACTCAGTCTTTATTTTTCTATGTTGTGTTTGTGTACCATTGTTTTTCTGTTTGTCGATTGGTCTTTTTCTTTTTTACCCATGGCGTTGTCAGTTTATTTTCGACTTATGAGTTTGAACGTCCCTCTGGTATCTTTCGCCTCTCTTTTATGATTGTCTTCAATTAACTCAAAATTTATAGCTAGAACTAATTTTATCATCGCCTTCAATATTATCTCACAAATAGAAGCTAGAACTTACCTAATTATCGCCTTCAAGTATCTAACTAATAATAGCTAGAACTTAATTTATTATTGCCTTCAATTATCTCACAAATAATAGCTACAACTTACTTTATTATCGCCTTCAAGTATCTCACAGATAATAGCTAGAACTTACTTTATTATTGCCTTCAATTATCTAACAAATTATAGCCCGAACTTACTTTATTATCGCCTTCAAGTATCTCACAAATAATAGCTAAAACTTACTTTATTATCGCCTTCAATTATCTCACATAAAATAGCAAGAACTTACTTTATTATCCCCTTCAATTATCTTACAAATAACAGCTAGAACTTACTTTATTATCACATTCAATTATCTCACAAATAATAGCTAAAACTTACTTTATTATCAAATTCAAATTATCTCACAAAAAATAGCTAGAACTTACTTTATTGTCACCTACGTTTATGCCACAAATAATAGCTTGAACTTACTGTATTATTGCCTTCAATTATCTCACAAAAAAATAGCTAGATAGATATAAGAAGATGTGGTATGAGTGCCAATGAGACAACTCTCCATCCAAGTCAAAATTTATAAAAGTAAACCATTATAGGTCACAGTACGGTCTTCAACACGGAGCCTTGGCTCACACCGAACAGTAAGCTATAAAGGGCCCCAAAAAATTACTAGTGTAAAACCATTCAAACGTGAAAACCAACGGTCTAATCTATATAAAAAACGAGAAACGAGAAACACTTATGAACTTACTTTATTATCGCCTTCAATTATTTCACAAATAAAAGCTAGAACTTATATTATCATCGCCGTCAATTATCTCACAAAAAATAGCTAGAACTAACTTTATTGTCGCTTTCAATCATCTCACAAATAATAGCTAGAACTTACTTTATTATCGCCTTCAATTATCTCACAAATGATAGTAAGAAATAGACAATAATTAAATGGAAACATGATTGTTAACCGCAAAATATGAGGTCCATTTTTTCATAGTTGGATCGTTGTTATGTCTTTGTCCGTTTGAGACTTAAGTGGTTATATATCTTTTAACTCTGGGATTTTTCGCAACACCATTTTTCTGTCTAAAAGGACCAAAAGGGCAAGGTCATCATAATTTTTTATGTTTAATATTGCATGCGTTTTATTTCCATGTTTCCAGTTGATACTTATAGCTCGCAAACGACTAGAGAAATGGTTAATTTTTTCACGGAAGTCAATGGAAAAAATATATCATTACTTATAATTCTGTAGTCCATGAAAAAGTCAGAATACACTATTTTTGTTGGTACCTTCTTGTACATTTATTAATTAATGAGCTATAGGAAGGTTAAAAAATGTACTTTAGGCATTGGTAACACGATCGACAAATTAGTACAGGGGTCTGTTTTTCAAAGCAGTCTTAGGACTAGAGCATGCCCATTACCATCTTATGAGATATGTGTAACGTTTTAAAACAAATACATTATCTTTTGGTCAATACAGGTAGCCTCGAATCTATACAAGGACAAACAGCCAGTTAATCATAAACAAAAAATGTAATGTTTTATTCTATTTCTTACTTTATGTAACAAAGTTTTTGAAGATGATTTGTAGCCATCTCAAGCTGTTTTTTACCCTTGGGAAAATCTGGTGACAAGACCAATGCAGATATCCTCTGTAAATGTTGTTTGAGAACATCCCCATCAGGATATCCCTAAATAAGTAGACAATAAACACTTCAAAAGTACAGAAGAAGTTGGGTCACAAAAATATCATATAAAATTTATGAAAAAAAAACATAAAAAAAGTAAAACAACGCCAAAGCGAAAAAGAGAGGTACTGAATTAAAAAACAAAGACTTCTGAATATGCAAACAATAGGCCAAAATGAATCCTGTCCGAGAAAGTTGAGCATTTTCTGCTTCATACGCGTTACCTCTTCATGAAACGTGGTATTTTGTCTTATTTTCTCAAAAACAATATATAATTGTAAATGGACACCTTGAAATTAATTGTTTTCAATGATTAAAAATAATAAATATAAATTTGTAATAAACCGTAAACGAATGATATCGTTTTCCTTTTAACTGCGCTCACTCTACAAAAAACTTCATATTGTGACTCGCAGCTGACATTTTACAATTTCAATATGCAGACAACCTGATAATCGGTACATATGAGTCTTAACTTCCACACTTCTGCTGGTGTCCTGGCGTGTATCAACCCAAATTAACAAATGAATCTGGACACAAAATCCGACCTCTAAAACCGCATGCTGTGAAACAAAACTGTCTACAGTTAATATTTTAAATATACCTCGTATGGATTGTTGCCTTTATAACAGTCTCTCACTACATTAGTGCAATACTGCATTAGGACATGAAGTGTTTCCGGAAGGTCTGCTGTGTGCTCGAGATAAAATGTGTAAAGGTCAGAAATGCAGTCCAAATTTCTAACTCTTTGTAATCGTCTCTTCCTCTAAAAAGACAAGCGGAATAGAGGTAATAAGGGACATAATAACAAAATACAAATATTATTGACTGACAACATTTCTTGCACGATCATTCTTTACCCTTTCTCCAGCCACTGTGATCAAAATATTATAGATTAGTTTGAGTATGCGAACTAAATATTATCTTTTACATAATATAAGATTATTATCATATTTGTTCCGTATAACTATTTTTCGAATTGCAGATTTGACTAAACACTCGTCTGATAATGACTAATGGGAAGAAAAGATGCGATGTGGAAACTAGAAACGCCTTTTCTTCCGATGGACTTCCCCTTTATGAATTTACCTTGGAGTTCTGTATTTTTGTTATACCTTTTCCCTCCACTCTATGTTTAGTCTATCATTGGAATAAAGATATGTTAGCGTTGCACTTTTTTAACACCACAGTGACAACTAAAATGTTTTTCATTGAATCAAAATTTCAAGAATGCATATCACATACATGAAATCTCTCCCTTTTCGAACTTTGCAAACACGGGTTTCAGTTTTTCAAAAAGAATTAAATGTATTTGTGTGGAATTACGTAACTTATTATTAACGTTATTTTAGGTATAGAAAATTAATTTTTATCGACAAAATAAATGTAATGTAACGAGTACGGAAATAATCAAACTCACGGATTTCTATGAGCTTTATAAAGCAACTAGAACATTTGTAATTTCATAAAATGAACTATAGCAAGCTAAATATCAAACAGATAGAAGTACATTTTTTGCCCTTTGGGTATTTTCGTCTGAATGTGCACACGATTCTTTAAAAATCAGCCATTCATAAAAAAAAATGAAATGAGTTCGGTTATCCCCTACAAATATTTTAGAAATAAAAGAAATAACATTTCATTTTAAAAGAAATTCAATAAAACAGGGTTTCGGGAAAAGCCAAATCTAGAGGGATGCTACATGCTATATCTAGGAGCTGTAAAATACGCTTGCGTGTACACAAAGAACACTTTAAATGAGTGGGGGAAAAAAGATTACGAAATCCCATATTTAATTGCAAAAGAAAACGATAAAACTGGTGAAAAAAGGATTATATAAAAATAAGGAGATGTGGTATGATTTCCAATAGGACAATTATCCACCAGAGTTCAAATGACGTGGACATAAGCAATTATAGGTCACTGTACGGCCTTCAACGATAAAAAAAACCATACCGTATAGCCAGCTATAAAAGATCCCGACATGGAAAATGTGAAACAATTCAAACAAGAAAACCAAAGGCCTTACCTATAACAATACAATTTACGGAAAATAAATATGACAGAAATGAACAATGCAACGACAACCACTGAATTACAGGCTCCTGACTTGGGGCAGGCATATAAAGAATATGAGGGGTTAAACATGTTTGTGAGCACTCAACCCTCCCCTAATGCGGGACAGTGGTGTTACAGCACAACATAAGAACAAACAGTTTAAATCAGTTGCAAGTGGCTTTACTCATCAAATTTATACGAGCCACAAATAAACCAACTAACTTAAAAATAATAGACACAAAGCACCGATATAAGCGTATTCGCAGATACTGAAAACTAGTACAAAGCCAATTACAACTAATAAATAAGTCATGTTTTCCAAGACTAGACTAAAGTATCAATCAATACACACCCAACAGACTCTCCATTTCTCTAGAAACAACCTTTAACGAATCTGGGAGGGTAAAAAAACTTTCCTCCTGAAAATCTGCGGTTAAAGTTCTCATTTTTATTAACGATTAATTTATATAATGATCAGGAGACTATAGTCAATTTTTTAATTCTAGAACTAAAGGGATGTTTTGTATTGTTGCGTTTTCTATATATAAGCTATGTTTTATCCTGGAAAATTAGGAAAGTATAGAACATCAAATCATTCATAGTAAGCAAGATAAAACATTCACTTTGTCCAAAACGGATAAATAAGAAATTCATATTTTTCATTTTACTTACTTCATAAACCTTTTTAGAAAACCTTTCAGGAAATCAGTCATTCTACTTTTGTACTCCTTAAATTCCATATCCCCTGGTATATATTTGTGCTCCTTGAGGGCTGCAACCAATTGAGTAAGTTTTTTGCCGTTTAGATTCTATAATTAAACATTGTATTTAAAATATATTTTGTTACCTGGTGAAAATGATTTAAAAAAATCTGGTTTGCTCACTGGAAACTTTTTATCATGCGTACATATTACTACAGTGGTTTTGTATTCGCATGAGGTAAATGATCAATTGTCAGTTTTCGAATTATTTAGTTTCATTTAACATATGGTTTCAAATGCAGTTGCAAAGCTGATTTTAGAGATGCGTCCTCGTTTTTGATTCGATACTCTCAAACGTATGGCTTTCAAAACTTTTGATTTCGAGCGTGTTATTCAAGAAACTCGTGTTATGCACTCTAAAAATTGTACCCTTGGATAATTTTTCAACCAGTAAGTCTGTGCCACTGTTAGAAAATTTTCAGCCCCCTAGATACCATCTAAACAATAGCCATCTGTGCTGGATTGATTGAAATGATAATTCTAAATTCAAATATCACTCTTTTGATATTTCAATTTAACTACCTAAAGACCAAGGTTACATATCCCTTTTGTAAAGTTTACTTAACATTTTGTCTGTTCCGTTTAGGTCGATTTTGCATTTTCATGCTTTAAATTGTCTTCTGATTTTTCTAATCAGTAATTTATATTGCAATGTTAAAATATTTTCTTCAGCTCTGGGTCGGTTTGCTATTTCATGTAACATTTTCCTCATTAAGCCTTTAAGGTATGTATGCAAAACAACATTCTAACTAAGTATTCCCAGTAGTATCTTACATCGTTGAATTCCCGCTCACTTATATTATGTGTTAACCTTATCGTTAACACGGTCATATTTGCCGAAAGGTTCTGATGAACCTTCATTTCCTATGTACATCTTTATGTTGGCTGATTGTTTGATTGTTGCTTTCTTTACATATAATACAAGGAGATGTGGTATGATTGCCATTGAGACAATCATCCAACAGATTCCAAATAACATGGATTTAACCCTTATAGGTCACCGTACGACCTTCAACAATGATCAAAAACATATACCGTATAGTCAGCTGTAAAATGCCCTGACATGACGAAATGTAAAACAATTCAAACGAAATAACCAACGGCATGATTTATAACAAAACAATAAACGAAAAAAACAAATATAACAGACATCAACCAACTACAACCACTTGATTAAGCATATTCAGGACAAAAGACAAAATCTTTAAAAACATTTGATAAATAGATTTAGAAACGGATAATTATTTACCTCCATCAGATCGTTCATGTCAGCTGCGCCTGCAATGAGCTTGTCAATTACATCAGCAAAAGCCGTTGTAGGACCTAAGCGAAGCATAGTCAGAAGGAAGTCAAACAAGCAGTCCTGGCATTCTGGTATGGATAACGTTCCTTCGTCTGTACATTTCCTTTTAGAAGAACATAAAATTTTAGTTTGCATGCATTTTAAGGTAGATTAAAAAGTTTTCTGGTAGTCAATACACTGTATATGTAAATGATGATGTGAAATTGACAAGATATTTTTATCAAAGCATACACAATAGCAAGATTGTACCTGTATAATGCAAAGTTGGTTCCTATTTAAAGGAAAAATATATTATGAGATTTATTTCCTTTTGAAGGTGAAATTTATAAAGGTTATTAAATGTCTGCATCCATATTCTTAGAAGCTATAATGACAAATACATGCGTTCAGTCCAGGAGACCCACACGTAGCCTCCGGTTGTTGGCAATCCTCTTTAAATAAATAAAAAATTAAAATAGAAAATAAATAAAAATGCTTTCAGTCCAACTTATTTAATAATGTCAAATGGTGTATTGTGTGGACCAGAAAAATGATATATATCCAATTTTACAAAAAGGCAACAATACTATTAAAAAGAAAATGCTTACTCTATTACATGTCTTATCCACGCAACTGCATTACATGCTATTCTACAGCCATCTTTTTCAGTTGTAACATTCTGTATAAAATCTTTGTTGCATATTTTGCTCATCAGAATATTAACGGCTTTTTTCAGAACTTCGATATTAACACCTTCGTGGAGAACACCTTTGAGATCACAACATTCATTATGAAGATCTGAATCCGTTCCGTCAGGGGGATGTACAAAATCATATTTCTCTATGATCTTGTCAATCATGGTTGTTTTAATCTACAAAGAAAGTGATACATGCGACTCGAAAAACTTCACCAGAAAATCTAATAATGTCATCGATAACTCATTACAGGTCTGGCAATGTGAATTTGAATATTTTTGTACAGAATTTGGAGAAAAGAGGCTGACATTAAGTCATTAAGTTTTTAAGTTTGGAGATTTTAGGATACGATGTTTCGGAATGACATGATTTTAATTGTCAAAAATTAAATAGCTATTCGTCGTTTCAAATGCATGACTTCTTGTAGGTCAAACTGTAAAAATAAAGGTTTGGATTTATGTGTTATGTTTATGTTTAATGTTAGGTTTCTGTCTTATTCCCACTTGTGTCGTATGTTTGTTACCTTTATTTGTCTCTTCTTAATCGATTTGCGAGATTTGAACATCCGTAAATTACTGTCGCCTTATTTCGCCAATTATATTTTTGTGATATTACTTCTACTTTTCCAAAATTTGAAAGCAATAGTAACAATTCACTAAGTTTTCCAAGAAGCTGTTCGGTAGATCTAGAGGACACGTAGTTGTGGATTTGTTATTATTCGTAGGGTACTAGTTTTCGTGGGTGTAGGGGGGAAACAAATTCAAGTGTTCACTATATTTGTTGAATTTTGAGTAAGAATTTTCCAGCAGGTTGTCGGCATTTCTATTGGAACCAACTGTGCAACTCTCCTTGCTGACCTTTTCCCTATTTTCATATGAGTTGGAGTTCCTTCGGACACTTGTAAAACAAGAAAATCAAAGAAGCTAGATCATTTATTTCACATACAGGTATATTGATGATATTCTTTCCATTAACAATCCAAACTATTATGATCGGGTACAATTAATAAATCCTCATGAAGTAGAGAATTTGAAAAGAATTTTCCAAATTTCATTTTGTACGTGAATTAAGGTGAATATTCAGATACTAAGTTATAGTTCTTTCGTATTCAAACTGATACCTTAATTTTGAGATGTTTTTGGGATTAATATATTAATGATGTGTATATCAAATGAAAATAACAAATTGAATACTCAATATTTTTTTCCATTTGCATTTTTTTTAAATGTGCACTTATATTGTGCAGAGATTCATGGTTTATACAGTGAATGCAAATTTAAAGACAGTAAATGACCGGACAAACATAGACTAGAGACTTAATTTCTGTTTTTGCAGAAAATTGAGGCAAATTTGAAGTCAAAGCTTGACACCAGTATTGTACAGCAACGACTCTTTTTGCTAACAATATTAAAAAAATAATTCACTTTTTGTTTTATTGCAGGTAATGTTTTATCATATACAACACATAGTTTATGCCTTCGTTATGTTTTTCTTACCTGTTCTGTTTTGTTTCTATATCATCTATACCAATTCTTGCTCTTTCCACACAATGGTCGATACCGAGTTAGTTATGGATATTCATTCATTTACATACTTCTTTAGAAGGTCAATGTCAAATATAATTGCTACAACATGCCTATCTATTGTTTTAATATTTGAAAGACCTGGTGCAATTAACACACATTTTATTCAAAAGTTGACGTTAACATTTAATGTCGGTTTTTCCAATGTATTTTTAATGTTGACGGTTATTGTTACGGGTAATTTATTTTGAGGCTCAACATGTATGCCATACAAAGATGGTAACGCGTGTTTATAATGTTTGGAGCTCAACTCTCTTCGCCAAATAAACACCATATTTGATAAACAAATAATAAAAAAATGTTAATTCATAATTTCACAAATAGTCGTTTGATAAACATTTGTATTAAAAACATTTTTTCATTGACATAATGAATTCTATACATGAATGAAACAAAACCTAATATTTATGATATTTTACTGAATGACCATTTAAACGATATATTCATTTAAATTTATGAGCCATAAAATCATAAAAATACATTCTTTAAAGTGAACAATCCCTAAATTCTTTTCATTGTCATTTTAATTTGGTAGCAATTGTAGGCATGTTTAAAGAAATAATATAATTTTAATCATAAGCATTCCGATTAAGCGCTGCAATAGTGGCACACCAAGGAGAAGGGAAATCCTTATGCTAGTTTGAACAACTTAATTTAAATTGAAATAAAATTTTTCAAAATTATATGAAAACACCCACTAACGTTATGTTTATACACTTCTACAAGCAAGTTACAAAAAACGCAGAAAATATGCAATAAACTCTATATAGTTTTATATAAAAGTCTAAATCATGTTTTTCCTGATCACATATAATTTTATTTTGACAAAAGTGCCTTGTACAATTAATATTTACTATACGATTCTTTTTAATAGTTATTATAGGATAGGGAGGTACTGAGATTGAACATAACTGTAACTCAACTCTAGACATGTAGCTCTGCACATATTGGTCATTTGGTTAAGTAATCAGTTATGCTCATTTGGTTCATTGACATAAACATGAAACTTGAATGCCTTATGTGAGGGTCCGTGGAATATTAAGGCCACCGGTCCTTTGAGAATAATTGTTTTATAAGTAAGCGGTAAGAACATGTCATTATTTGATAAGCTTCTTATATTTTAAAGTGAAAAAAATGTATGGCTTACAAAACAGAAAATCTATATGCAAAGATGCAAAGACATCATTACCAAAGAAGATTTACAGTTTTAAGTATTATATAAAGGCGCTTTACTATTCCATTTTATTAAGCATTGCTCTCAAAAATTGTTGAGAAAATGTAAAATTAATGAGTTCACTGTATAGTGGGGAAAATAATTTCAACTTAATTTACATATAAAGATATGCGTCTGCATCATGGAATATATAATATGGAAACTATTAATTTAAGCCACAAATATTCCTTCCTAACTAGACAAAACCCTGTAGATTGCATAGTTACATAGAGCTTTTCTTGATTTTCTTTATCTCAAAGCCACAATAAGGCCCCCAACAAGGATGAAACGCTTACACATTACTACAGTTCACAATGGTATGAATGTTGGCTGTCAATCATGTTACAGTTTAACAAGGAGGAAACGCTCACACATTACTGCAGTTCACAATGGTATGAATGTTGGCTGTCAATCATTTTACAGTTTAACAAGGAGGAAACGCTCACACATTACTACAGTTCACAATAGTATGAATGTTGGCTGTCAATCATGTTACAGTTTAACAAGGAGGAAACGCTCACACATTACTGCAGTTCACAATGGTATGGATGTTGGCTGTCGATCATGTTACAGTTCACAATGGTATGGATGTTGGCTGTCGATCATGTTACAGTTCACAATGGTATGGATGTTGGCTGTCGATCGTGTTACAGTTCAAAATGGTATGAATATTGGCTGTCGATCATGTTACAAGTGTGCATTGAAGTACATGTACACGGATGCAGACCATCGAGTGTATACTTTTAATATAAACTTCCCTTAATCATTCTCGACAACCCACAAAACTTTCAAAAAAAACAAATACAAATTTGATATCATTTTCGTTTAAACTGTTTATTTTCTATGTAAACGGATTTTTCGGCTAATCGAATTAACCCCATAAGAAAAAAAAAATCATATAGAAATACAACATAGAGACAAGCAACAGTCCACAAAAACTACATAAAAAGGATTAAGCAACATAAACTCCACCAAAAACCAGGGATGCTCCGGAAATGGACGAAGATACTGCCATTTACGAACATTTTGCACCGCCATGCTACTCATGGCAAGTACAAAATCGTGGAATGTCTCATTCGGTGATGTGAAAATCGACGAAAAGGAAGGGATTATGGATTTGATATTTGGAACGTATCGTTAGTCATTTGTGACAGATTTTCCATAACAGTCTTCCGAATCATGATGACGTCAAATTTGTCACTACTAACCCTTAGTTCAATAGCTGAAATTAAGGAATATATATTCCTCACGTATAGCTCTGATTCATTGTCCGGGTTTCGCTTTACTTTGGTCAAATTTCGTTTTATCACCTTGTATTAGTTTTGGATTTTCAAAATTTTGGCCTTGAGCATCACTGACATTAATTGTCGAACTGCGCATCTGGTGCAGTAATATTGGTAACAATAATGTTATCCCTAGTAAGCAACGACGCCTTATCAAAGTGAAGTCACGATTAAAAGCGAAAGCTTAGAATATCTCATCGACTGGGATATATATACTTCCGATACAGACGCTACTGGAAAATTGCTACTTAGAAAGGGAAAGTTAACAATAGGAAAGCTGAAGTCTATTCTCTTAAAGTTAAGTTCTCAGCCGATACATACTGTTTTTATAATGTTTAGCTGAAGGTTAAGAAATAAGGTACAATTTTTAACTGTATCTGTGTTATCTGTGTTATCCTTTATTTCAAGTTCAATGGGATATATGCGTTCAACATAGTATTTGAATTATTTGATAGGAGTACACCATCTATATAGAGCAACATGAGGTAAAAGAATAATGCTAGCTCATTACCATTTTTTTGGATAAGCCCCTGTACAATATACGACCTCTGTCCCAAATGAATAAAGTAACGAATTAAGGCAACCGTAGTTTACTGATATTCAAATCTCATGAATCGATTAAGAAGACAAATCAAGGTAATAAACAAAATCTGAGGGAATCGCATGATCTCCAAACGAAGCGGGACCGGGTGCGCCGACAACATGAAAGTGTCTCGTACCATGCATGCATAGCCTGTCGTGCGATTCCAAACCCTGTCAAAATGCCATAATCGGAAATAGGACACATTCGTTGAAATTACAGATAAGACGATTCTTGTATCTTCCGTTTTAAGATTGCTAAAGGATGGCGTTAGTGAATTCGAGACACTGACATATTGCATTTATCAATCAATTCGTGATGGTGACCGTGAAATATATGTCGTTCTTATCATAACTCTGTTCGATCCATGTTTGTCTTTAGAGCACATCCCCCTTAATGAAGTCTGTATAGTGTGAACAAGGAAGAGCGTAACGTATATCAATTGAGGTATGTAAATGAAATACGATTTGTCAAAGGGTATGTTACATTTTTACAGCTGAAAAACAGTAAGTCGAAATCATCACGTTACTCATAGATTCTAGTTTGAAATCGTCTATCTGTGTCAATATTGAGAAAAAGACCAAGATATGAAGCGGAACTTTAAGCTTTGGTAGTATCCTTAATCTAGAGTTCACTGGGAAATATGAGATGCACGAACTCACTGAAATTTGAATTATTACATTACAGGACATTATCAATATTTCTGAATATGAAATAAAGACTTTTTTTTCTTTTTTTTTCTTTTCGAATGTCCTGTATAAATTCTTCTTCAAATTAGTATAAAACAAGTACGTCAGTAGGAGTGCACAATTATAACCCATTCAAATACACACTGTCTATTAAAATATCAATCCACTTACTCAACACATATCTTGTCGATCAAAAAGTCCAGTATCTTAATAACATTTTTTTCTGTCCTTTTGGAATCAGTGCGGTTCGTCTTAAAGAAAGATTCTCGTTACCTAAAACAAGATTTTTGTTAAAAGAGTTCTGTTTAATGAGACGATGAATTCGATCTTTCAATTCAGCATGGGGTATAGAAGTCTTAAGCATAGACAAATCAATAGTTTTGATAGTACTGCAAAAATAGTACTAGTAAATAAAACTGAGAATGGAAATGGGAAATATGTCAAAGAGACAACAACCCGACCAAAGAGCAAATAACAGCCGAAGGCCACCAATGGGTCTTCAACGCAGCGAGAAAATTCCGCACCTGGAGGTGATCCTCAGCTGGCCCCTAAATAAAATTGTGTACTGGTTCAGCGAAAATTGACGTCACACTAAACTCAAAAACAGATAAAGGAACTAAAATTTAAAAAAACATACAAGACTAACAAAGGCCAGAGGCTCCTGACTTGGGACAGACGCAAAAATTCGGCGGGATTAAACATGGTTTGTGAGATCTCAACCCTCCCCCTATACCTCTAGCCAATGTAGAATAAAGAAACACTTAGCAATAGGCACAATAAAACTCAGTTTAAAAGAAGTCCGAGTCCGATGCAAAGACCCAATGAGTGAATCAATATTAATACCAAAATATGCAATTCTTCATGACCTGACAACAGTATTGTAACTATATCCCTTCCGAATAAGTCTCTTTAAAGGTTTGGTTAGCTTTTGAGGTGAATGCCGATATTTTTGTGCTTTGTAAAGATTATTACCATAAAATATTGGATGTGAAATACCTGAACGTATAAGATGTCTGCATGTTGATTTATATTTACGAATGATGTCCTTGTAAATGTTTTGACAAGTTTGTGATATCGAAAACCCTGGTGTTATAATTTTTCAGTAATACAGAGATTTTTTTCGTTGAAATCAAATACGTTGTTACATACACGAATCGAACAAGTTGAGATATATAAACACCATAAGATGGTGACAAGGGAACGTCACCATCTAAAAATGGATAATTAACAATAGGAAATGAAAAATCATCTCTTTTATCATAAATTTTGGTATTAAGCTTCCCGTTAAAGATATAGATATCAAGATCCAGGAAAAGGCAGTGTTCGTTGTTAGTATTAGTTCTAT